TCAAAATCAGTCTTTAGCCAAGGGTTATTTTTATAATTTCATTTCATTTTTTCAGTAATATTTTATCTTCAATCAAATATAGAGTCAGAAAACTGAAACTAATTTTTTCGGTACCAAATAACTCCTTTTTAACCTTCCAAGAAAACTCATTTTCCCACCATATTTCCAGTAATTGTAATTCTTTGTTAATTTTTTTTTTCTTTTACCAAACGCTCCCTTAAAGTCCTTCCCCATGCATGTTGAATTTTCTTCTCCAAATTTTTTTCTTGTTGTCGTATTAATCCGTTGTGACGTTAGGACAACTAGCTAAACGCGTTTGCTGTTCCTAATATTGATTTATGACGCATACGCAAATTTAAACTATAGTCTATAAAAAATTGTAATAAAACTGAAATCTGGGCATAATCCCTATTTTCTTATAGAACTTATGCATAACGAAGTATAATAATGAAAATTAAAGGTGGCAAAATGGGTCGACCCGCTCCGCTCCGCCCCTGTGTCAACCTGCCAATAACGGGTTAGCCCGTCCCGCCCCGCATTTTGATATGGGTTGAAAATTCCAACCCACCCCGTTTTGTGGTGGGTTGGCGGGTCAAAAAGAAAAAATAAAAAAACATATTTTATTAATTTTATAATGTTTCTTATTTTCATTTCAGAATCCCTTTAAGGAGCGTTTGGTACAGGTGAAATTTTTTTTTACCAGGGAAATGTAATTACCAGGAATCTGCAGGAAAAATGAGTTAGGTAGGAAAGTTAAAAAAAAATTGCTTGATTGGGTAAAATATTACCAGTCAAATTGATTAAAGTTTTTGAAGTCTATGTTTGGCTGATGATAGAATATTGATGGATAAATGGTATAAAATTACAAAAGTAACCTCTTATTAATTTTTTAATGTCAATACAAATATTTTTAATATCATTACAAAAGTAACCTATAATAGAAAGGTAGTTCTGTCAAATCCTTCATTCTATATATCCCATTTGCCTAGTTATCATACAATACCACTTTCAAAGTGGCATTGTTGGTATGTGTTTATTGTTACATTTTGAAATGTTGACCAAAGAAAAAAATCAAGGTACTTCTCAAGGAAAAGTTAAGTAAGTTGAAAAAGGAAAAAGAAAGAATGGTATGCAAAAATGCATTTCAAATGAGAAAAGAAAGAAAACATCTGCAAACAAGGAAAGAAAAGAAAAAGATAGTGAAAAAGGGAATAAGAATACCGAAATGATGAAAAGTGCAGAATTAAAAGACTGAGAAGAAAGTATTGTCAAAAATCTCAGTATTTCATTCTCTCAAATTAATCAGCCTCTTTCCAAAGATTCTTACCCCCAAACCAGGCCAAGTTATAACCTATCCAAGACCTTTTGATCGATGTATGCATGTCAAATGAGTTCCTCAATCTTAGGAATTTGAGAATATGATCAAGCCTATGGAATTACTACTACACTGATGGAATGAGTGTGAAACCTTCAAACACTAGAGTGATGAGAGTTACATATTTATCTAGTGAGAAACATTTAAGTTATGATATGAATTTCTTGATAAAACTGAAAAATATTGTTTAGAGTTTTTCAACAATGAAGTTATACATGCATAGTGTAACGCCTGGCAACTTGCAAGGATCAACGACTGTCCCCACACACTAACACGAGACTTTTCAGCGTGTTTTGTCCTCACTCGCACACTTCCCGGGAAAACTTCCCAGAAGGTCACCCATCCTTGAATTGCTCCAAGTCAAGCACGCTTAACTGTGGAGTTCTTCCGATCCGGGCTACCAAAAAGTAGATGCATCTTGTTAGTATAGGTAGTACCAATTAATTCTTATAAGTCATTCCCAACTGTACCGTCCCATACCAGCACAGTCGCTGGAATCCCTCTTTTTCGGGTGTTGATTCGATTCATTCATGTACCCCCGTCCCTAGAAGCCTGTCAGGAGCCGCTCCTTGTCCGTGCCCTTACGCACCGGCGATCACTCCCCGCCCTCGTCAGCGCCCGGGATGTTACACATAGCAGTCTGATCTCTTAAGGTATTTGTATTCCGTGTTTTCTCTCCACAGAATTCATCCTTGTTTCTACTTTGATCTAGTACATAGCTGATGATAGCAACGTTCAAATCTGGAAATTGTTTGATATGCCTCCAGCATATATATGATTTTAAGCCAAAAAGATAAAGAATCTTGATAAATCTTGGATAAAAAGGGTTAGAATTTTTATTAAATTGAAAAATCTCAATCAGATATCTTGCCACTGATTTTCTTATATTTTTGTATGAAAAAGTACAAGAAAGGGGCCCAATTGAGCAGCAGAGAAAAAGACAAGATTTGAATTAGAGGAGATTGAAATCAAGAGATATGATCAAGATTTGAATCAGACTATATCAGGAAAGATTGGACCCAAGATATACAATGAAGATTTGATCAAGATTTATGAGCAAGGCACAAACTCTATAAATAGAGACTCAGGGCCTCATAGCAAACAATCTTTGGCTGGAGAGAATTGTGAGGATTAGAGAATTGAGAGAATGCTTGGAGACTCGCGCTGGAGATCAGGATTCCGACGGAGTTGAAAATCGAAGACCATTGATCTTCCCTCTTCTTCTTCTTCTTCTTTTCTTTTTCTTTCATGAACAATTTTTATTTTAATTTGTTTAAGCCAGACATGAATATATCTGACTAATTTCTTTTTGTAGTTGGGATCACGGATCCAATGTGAATCCTTTATATTTCCTGTATTGATATTTTATAAGTTTATTAGTTAGTTTGTTTTATTCTACCTGTGTTAATTTTTTTATATCCTGTTTAGAATTGGCCACTCTAAATTATAGGGCTTTGAGGTTAGAATTCACAATAGACATATTGGAGTTTTAATCTGGACAAGGGTAGCATAACAATTTGTATATGATCTAGACATAAGCTCACATAAATTGCAGACTTATAATTCATTTGCTTAATGCTTAATTCAAGAGGGATTACTAAGACATTAGAATTCTGATTGGATTAAAGGGTTGAAATCACTAAGACATTATGGTTCAACTATTTTATAGGAAAATAATGAATTGTCTGAGAAAATCAATCAATTAATTATAAAATACAATATAGGAATATAAGGGAGGATCAGAGGTGAAGTGCATCCTGACTACATCCTTTTTATAAATTTTTCATTAATATTTTCTTACGTTCTTGATCTTTTCTTGCATGCGTTCAAAATCAATTGTTATTAATTTTCTGTTTTAAAGTTAATTGTTTTTAAATTCTATTTTGAAATTCCAAAATCAATTACTTTCACAACTGAAACCAATTTTATTTTTCAACTTAAGGGGAATAGTTAAACTAGTACTTGGTGCATTAATCCTCGAGGGAACGATACTCTACTTATCACTTTATTACTTAAAACGAACGGTATACTTGTCGAATTCGCAACATAATACAAAAAATAAAAATAAAAATAAAAATGGGACCCACTAAGAAGAAAAGAGAAAAAAATAGTAAATTTTACCCACTTTTATGTATATATGAAAAATATTATCTCATGCAATATGAAAAAATACATTCCCCATATATTGTATTTGGATTTGAAGCATTCACAGTCTCTTTGTAATGTTGTCTACATGTTTTGCAGTAAGTCCATCGCTGAATTGCAGAGGTTTTGATTTGATGGTCCTCACTTATTTATTTTTAATCGATTTGAGACTTCACTACAATATTTCAAACAACAAAGTTATTTCATTTGATTAGGTTTTTCACATTTTATAGAGAAAATGAACCGCCTAAGTATTGCCGCCTAAGAAATCATAATTTTATCCTAATTTCATAAATTAATATAATCTAGTAAGATAAGAATAAGGTAATAATTGAAAATTCTTCTAGGTGGTGTTTGTTTGGGAGCTTTTCAGTAGATATCTATGTTTATCAAGTATGACTATTAGAAACACCATGTTTGTTTCAACGTATTTTCACCAAAAATCTATCTATCCAATTTGTATGGATTTATGAGAAACATAGATATCCACACTGTTTAGAAACCCAATTTGAAGGTGGGATTTTTTGAAAAATCGGTTATCTAATTTTTAATGCACTGTTGATTTCATAAAGTTATCTAATTTTTCCAGTAAAGTTTTTTTCCCACCAATCAACTTTTTTTTACCTTTTTTACCTATCTCACTTTATGTATCTTTCCAATCATTTTTCTATCTATTACATTTCTCTACTATTCCAAAAAAAATTTCTCAACCAAACGCCAGTTAGAATATCCTAATTAATGCTGCCATAAGATTGAGTTTTTATTTCGTGTAGTAGGTGAGAGCCATTAGATGAGGAGTGAGTGGCTATTGTTTGCTGAAGGACAGGCTACGCAAGTTCGAAGAAGCTGCTCCGTAACTTCCCTTCACATTACTGAATATGAGGAGTGAGAGTGGCTATTGTTTGCTGAAGCACAGGCTATGCAAGTTCCAAGAAGATGCTCCGTAACTTCCCTTCACATTACTGAAAATTCATTTTGATTCTTAAAAATAAGTAATAATTCTCATTTTAATTGTTTAGATTTATTTTACTTTGTTTCTTTTAAAATTTACTTATTTTTGTTTTTGTTTTTCAAGTTCATTTTTTGAAAAGAAGTGTGTCTCATTTTGAAGGATATAAAATTGTGTTATTTTAAGTGAGAGAAATAAATAGATAAAGGAGGAGAGAGTGTGGACCAAAAAAGTAAAGATGCGTGTCCCATTTCTTTGTGAAAGTGAAATGATACAAATTGTGTCATTCAAAAGAAGGAGATACACTTTTCTCTTGAAATATATACTTTCGAGTTAATAATATTTTTCAATCTTCCCTGTAAAGAGAAATCAAAATATAATTAAATAATAAATACATCTCTGAATGTTAAAAGAAAAAAAAAGAAGTATTTGAGGAACCAAACCAAAATAACAATAAATACATAAATGAGAACGAAATCAGCTATTCAAGGCGTATGGTTCTTCTATATTAATACGCTGCTCTTGATCTGTTTTCTTGTATACAAAAATCGAAGGAGAGAAAGGAAGAAGAAAAGTGTGTTGGTTTTCCTTAGCACTCGCAAATCGCAATAGCTAGTCAGTCAGTCAGAATATGTCTTCTTCCTCCTCTCCCAAAAAGTACGATGTATTCATTAGCTTCAGAGGTGAGGATACACGAACCAATTTCACTAGCCATCTTCATAATGCTCTCTGCCGCGAAAACATCGAAACATACATTGATTATGAGCTTGAAAAGGGAGATGAGGTTTGGACTGCACTTGAAAAAGCAATCAAGGACTCAAGTATATCCATCATCGTTTTCTCAGAAAACTATGCTACATCAAAATGGTGCTTGGAAGAACTCGTCAAAATACTCGAGTGCAGAAAATATCATGGACAGGTAGTTATACCTGTTTTCTATGAAACAGATCCATCACATGTACGTAAACAGAAGGGAAGTTACGAGAAAGCATTTGCCAAACATGAGAGAGATTTCACGAATAGTGGATCTAACCAAGACAAAGTGTCTGAGTGGAAAGCTGCACTCGCTGAAGCCGCCAATATATCTGGATGGGACTCTGACTCTCGTACCCATAGGTAACTATTATATATATATATATATATATATATATATGTTCTTATTTTATACAAGTAAATTTTTGAAATAGTATATTTCAAAAATTTACTTGTATAAAATAAGAACATATATATATATATATATGTTATGAAAAAAAAAGGCTGAATTTGTTATGAACATGATTATTCAAGAGGCTGAGTAATTTTTACAAGTCATCTCTCATGTTGTAAAGAAATTAATTAATAGAGATCTGATGGTATTATTCATAATATATCTTCAATTTAAATTTCAAAATATAGCAAGGTCAGACATGAGTAAATTAAAGCACTCGCACGATATTGAATTGTTCCTCTAATTTTGTTCTTTCTTAAAATCTTATTATTTATTTACTTTTTTGGCCAGGGATGATTCTGAATTCATCCAAAACATTGTGAACGATGTTTGGCAAAAGCTGTCCCTGATGTATCCTAATGAACTGAAAGGCCTTGTTGAAATTGATGAGAGCACTAAATCCATTGAATCATTACTCGATCAAGTTCCAAGAATTGGTATTTGGGGCATGGGCGGTATAGGTAAGACAACCATAGCTAGACACATGTTTGCCAAACACTTTTCACAATATGACAGTGCATGCTTCCTGGCAAATGTAAGAGAAGAATCAGAGAAGTTCGGACTAACATTTACACGTGATAAGCTTCTCTCTGAGTTACTAAAGAAACCAATTACAACATCTCATGTCACTGGATCCACATTCATTAAGAGGAGGGTCAGTAGTAAAAAAGTTTTCATTGTACTTGATGATGTTGATAGTTCTTCTCAACTAGAAGAATTATTGTGTGGACAACTAGATGACCTTGGCCCAGACAGTAGACTCATTATTACTACGAGAAATAGGCATATGCTTAGTGGAAGAGTTGATGTGATATATGACGTCACGCAATGGAAGTTTCCAGAATCTTTAAAGCTTTTTAGCTTAGCAGCCTTCAAGGAAAACCAACCTAAAGAAGGTTATGAGGATCTTTCAGAAAGAGCAGTTGCATGTGCAGGAGGCGTTCCTTTAGCTTTAAAAGTATTGGGTTCACATTTTCATTCCAGAGATACTGAATTTTGGAAATGTGAATTGAATAAATTTGAGAGCAAGAGGGAATCCTTTAAGGAAATTCAAAACGTGTTACATGTGAGCTATAATGGATTATCAGAGCTAAACCAGGCAATATTTCTGGACATTGCATTCTTTTTCAAAGATAGAAATAAAGATTACGTCATAAGCATACTAGATGCGTGTGGTTTCTTCGCTACCAGTGGAATACAAGTCCTTGAAGACAAAGCCCTTGTAACTATTTCACGGGGCAATAGAATACAAATGCATGACTTGCTACAGGAAATGGGTTTGGATATAGTTCGGAGAGACCCAGGAGGACGTAGCCGACTGAGGGATATTGGAGATGTTCGTGATGTACTTAACAATAACAAGGTACGGAAAAGCGCTGGCCTTTTACAAGACTTGAAATTTTGAGATAGAAATTATAATTAATTTGCTACAGGTTAGGTTTATTTAATTATTTCTTATTTTGGTAGGGAACTAATGCAGTTGAAGGCATGGCAATAGATTTGTCTCAAAGAGTAGATTTACGCATAAGTGCCGACACATTCAGCATGATGACCCGTTTAAGATTTCTTCAATTATATGTCCCCTGGGGTGAGGAGAGTTCTGCTGTCGTGAACCTTCCTCCAGCTCTTTTGCCATTTTCGGATAAATTGAGGTACCTTGAGTGGTATGGATATCCTTTGAAGTCTCTTCCATCACCTTTTCGTGCTGAGCTGCTTGTTGAGATTCGCTTGCCGCACAGCAATATTGAGTATCTTTGGGACGGCATGCAGGTGCGTGTATGTGTGCGCATGTATATTGTAAAGAAAGTTAGGATACACCACTCCAAGCTAGTTCAAACCAAGCTAGTTCAAAGGGTGGGAGTGTCCAAGGTCTTATAAACTCCAAATTAGTTAGACATGCAACCAATGTGAGACTATATATCTCAACGTATATGTACACTTATTATTTCTCAGTTTTAAATGAAACTTTAGGATATTCTATTTTGACGTCTCCTTTTTGAATTGTAACAGGAACTTGTGAATTTAGAGCTAATGGACCTAACTGAATGCAAACAGTTGATGAAGCTCCCGAATTTGTCTGGCGCGTCCAAACTCGAATATCTGGAACTCACCAATTGTGCAAGTTTATGCGATGTTCACCCATCTGTTTTTTTTAACGACACACTTGTTACTTTGCTACTTGATGGATGCAAAAAACTGGAAAGTCTAATATGTGAGAAGCATTTGAGATCTCTAGAGGATATCAGTGTTAGTGGCTGCTCAAGTCTGAAGGAATTTTCATTGTCCTCGGACTTAATTGAAAACTTGGATTTAAGCGATACAGCAATCGAAAGATTGTACCCATCAATCGGTCGTCTAAGAATGCTTGAGGAGCTCGATCTAGAAGGTTTAAGACTTGAGAATCTTCCAAATGAGTTGTCTTTCCTACAATTGATTACGAAGCTTTGGATTTCAAGCAGCGACATAGTGACTAAACAGAAGTTACATGTACTGTTTGATGGTTTGCGATCTTTAAAAAAACTATATTTGAAAGAATGTTGTAACTTATCTGAACTCCCAGACAACATCAGTGGGTTAGCATCATTAGAGGAATTGAGACTAGATAGAAGCAGTGTGGAGACGTTGCCTGAAAGCATCAAGGACCTCTCAAATCTAAAAATTCTGTCCTTAGAGAATTGCAGGAAGCTTCAATGTCTGCCAGAGCTTCCTCAGAATATAAAGTTGTTTAATGCAGATAACTGCACATCATTGGTGAGAGTATCCACTTTAAAGACTTCTTCAGAAACAATGTATGTAAAGAAGAAATGCTTTTGTTTCAAGAATGCTATGCAATTGGATGGACCTTCACTCGACTGCATTGTTGAAGATGCTCTATTAACAATGAAGAGTGCTTCACGTGGTAATATATCCCTAGACGAAGACAGTTGGAAAATCATCTTCTACAATTATAACTCTACTGAGGTTTGTTTACCAGGAAGCAGAGTCCCAGAGCAGTTCAAATACCGAACAACACATTCCTCCATAACTGTTGGAATTGCTGGCGGCTTGGGATTGATTTTTTCGGCAGTTGTTTCTGCGTCCTATGGAATGGAGAAGGACTATAATGGTGCTAAAATCGAATGTCAATGCTACTCGGAAGATGGCAGAAAGGTGGGATATGCATCAAGGCCTTATTATATAAAAGTTTTCGATTTGAACTGTGATCATATTTATGTATGGTATGATGCAAGCCATTCTCTGCACATTCTCCGCAACGGTGAATCAAAGGTTTGTTTTGAATTCAGTGTTAGAACTGATATTGGGGAGCGCCATGGCTTGTTCCGTGTGAAAGAATGTGGGGTCCTTCCTGTGTACTTGGAAAGGGTGGACTCGGAAATGGAAATTGAGTCAGAAACAATTGACGGATTTGATGAGAGGAAAGGCAAAGGAGTAGAATCTGTTGAAAAAGAGACACACAATCAGTTAAGAAAGAGACGCAAAATCAGTTGAAATCCATTGATTTCGTCTTTCCACCCATCCCGTCCAACTGGAATATAGAAGAACAAAACACAGGGTTTGAAAGATATAGTCTCTCTATTCCCTTGAATGCATAAAAGGTATCAACCACCTCATCTCTCTCTCTCTCTCTTCATATAGCCCTTAAATTCTACAAGTGACATATATAGGTATTTGTAAAAATCTTTGAATCACTGGCTTGTGTTTGAACCCATTTAGATTGCAGTTGTGCTATGTTTGACTCAGAAATTGACTTTGGTGGCATTTCTTAATGCTACTGATGAGTTGTTTGTATCTTTATTTTCTATAGGCATCTATCTATATTGGAGTTCATGTTTTCTCAAACTCCACACTTTGCGACCTCAGTACAATTGTATAGTTGACAGGAATATGAAGCATTTAAGTTTGCATGTGTCTTGAAATTTTCCATGTCACTAACTCAGCTTCATACCCTCTCCTCTCCCCATCCCCTTAAAAGTAGCAATACTACGTCTCCTTAGTTATCTTTTTTTTCTTCCTTTTTTTTGGGTATTTCTCCACCTTGGTTTTTTCTTTTTTTATTCTTTTAAATAGTTCTCTGTGCTGTCAATTTTTCCATTTAGATATTTTTTTTCATAGCAAACTATTGATATCATGTTCCAGCTTCTATCTTGCTGATAAATCACATTTGTCAGCTATGCATCATGCTATGTACAAATTTTCATATATCGGTTGAATTCCTTCTGCCATCTGATCCTAGTTGAATTTTCTTACCCTTTCTGCAGCATTGAGTGTGAGAGGTCAGTTAGAAAAATAACTTACTCGTGTCATGAACTTTCTTACGAAGTTCTGTTCAGTCAGCAATTTTAGATTTTTGTATTAAACACTGCAGGCCACCTTGCATAATAAGGAAACAAAGAATGTAACATTAATACGGGGAACTATATTGTAACAATCAAGTTGTGTTACTGCCAATTAGGGGTGAAACTGGGCCGGCCCGGCCCACAGGGGCCTACGGCTCGGCCTACGTCAGGCCAAACCTGACCTAGTATATTTCATAAAATAGGCCGAACTTGGGCTTTGAAAAAGCTTGTTTATTAAAAAGGCCGTAGGCCCACTTTCACAAGGCCTGACCTATAAGTCTATAGACCGGCCTATATTGTACTATTTATTTTAAATAAAATAAAATAGAATAAGTATGGCTTGAAAAAAAACAAAAGATATAAATTTAATCAATTGTAATTATTTATAACTTAATTATATTCGATTATATTTTAATAGAAATCTAACTTTATTTCTTATATAAGAGGAACCAACATATCAACATGTTAAATTGTGTATATGAATATATGAAAAGGTTTTTGAGAGAGATTATACTTACTACAAACATCATGATGTGTTGTTGGATTCATGTAATTATTTTAATTTACATAGTATGGATTTGTTTGTTGGATCTGATGAAATATTTGTTATTTAGTTTGAGCATTTTGTTTTTGAAAATGACTTAAATGCAGATTGTATGAATTTTTTGTTGTGATTCATAATTCTGTTTGGATGTTGAAATTATGATTTTTGGTTTAGCAACAGAATTTGAGTATTTTGTAAAGTTGATTCATGGTTCTGTTTGGAAGTTAAAAATTAACAGGCTAATGGGTTAGGCCAGACTATTTGTTTTTTTTATAAACGGGCCAAGCCAGACTAACAGTTAGACTCGTAATAGGCTTGGGCCAGACCAAATTGAAATTTTTTTGACGTAGGCTTTGGCGGCAAAGCTTGGCCCAGCCCAGCCCACTTTCACCCCTACTAGCAATCAATCTCACTGTTACATCGATTGGCAGTAACTTGGTAGTAACACAACTTGTTTGTTACAATATCCTTCCCCCGTTAATATAAGTTTTAAAATATCGTGCATGCAACAAGTTTATGGACTTGGGCATGGGTTAGCTTGAGCCCAAATGACCCCACAAAAATGGTGATTTGGGCCTGCAAACAAAAGGCCGATTGTTTGCTAGAGAGAGAAGCTGAAAACGCTTTCTTCCTCTTCCTCTTCCCGGAGCAGACCCTGCTTCTGAAAATATTGATCTTAAATGATCTCTTAGGAGTGATATTTATATTTCATAATTTGTTTCCTTATTTAATTGGAATTAGGAGTTTGGTATTAGTAAAAATAAGGACTTGTGTATTCTATTTTGTAACACACCATACATCAAGCAGGATTTGTTATTATTAGGATTATTGTTCAGGTTTTGTTCTCTCTTTCCCCTAAATCCCTATAATTTCAGCTGTCACAATCTTATCTATATTTGTTTAAAATGTTTTGCTGAATTGCTTTATTTATTTTCTTAGTGATTCCGGGCTAGGTGCACCTACAGGGTTTGGTGGTTCTATACAAAACTCTTCATCAAGCAAAATAGTATGCTAAAAGGATTTCCCTAATGGTTGAGGATTTGGTTGGCTTATTTTAATTCAGAAGATAGTTTGTGATTTCATTAGGTTGAAGTGTTCAAAACTTCCTGTTTGGAGAAAATAAGGCAAAATAAAGGAGAAAATCATTTTTTTTGGAATTAATTGACTTGTATGAATTATCTTGCAAAAGTTTCAACGAGAAAGAATGGGATGCCATGTTTCAAACAGCTTACTGATTTACAGCCTTGACTTAATCCAGAGTATGTAATGCAAGAAATTACAAAAGCTGGCTTTACTGAACCTACACCCATTTAATCTCAAGGTTGGCCAATGGCTTTGAAGGGGCATGATCTGATAGGAATCGCAGAAACAGGATCAGGGAAGACACTTGCGTACCTGTTGCCTTCCATAGTGCATGTAAATGCTCAGCCAATTCTAGGTAAGGAAATATGGAAACGACTGAGATGGTTAGGTTTCATGTGGAAGGTGCCGTTCTTTGTCTTTGCTACCTTTTCTTTTCTGTCTAATAATTCCTTTAACAATATTTGCAGATCCTGGAGATGGACCAATTGTGTTAGTTTTGGCTCCAACTCGGGAACTTGCTGTCCTCATACAACAAGAGGCTACTAAATTTGGTTCATCGTCAAAGATTAAGAGTACCTGCATCTGTGGTGGGGTTCCAAAGGGACCTCAGGTGCATGATCTCCAGAAAGGTATGTGTTGAAGTGAGGATACAAAGTGATGACTTTGGTTAAATAACTCAACTACGATTGTTACCTCTTTGTACAGTTTTCCTTTTTTCGTAATTATGAGTTTGGTTATGCTTCTGTTATTTTTTGTGGTTAGGTGTTGAAATTGTAATTGCCACTCTGGGAAGGTTAATTGATATGCTCGAGTCAAATCATACTAATTTGCAGAGGGTCACATACCTTGTATTGGATGAAGCTGATAGGATGTTGGACATGGGGTTTGATCCTCAGATACGGAAGATTTTGTCTCTCAGGTTGGCTTTATTCTATAATGTGATCAATATTTTGAAATTGTAAAATTTCAGGAAATGGTGTAATACTGTATTATAAGTATTGTTTGTCATATTCAAGTTGCTGTTCTTAATGCTTCATGCACTCAGTTTGCTATTCTTGCTAAGTTGCTAGTCCATTACCAATAAGGGATGCTGCTACTTGATTACTAGTTAGATTTTGCATTCATTTGTTGACATATTATAACCTTTTTAATTGTTATTTATCAGATAATTACTCTTTCCTATGCATGCAACCATGAATCTTGATCCTTTCTATTGTTTGGTTACTGTCAGATGTGAAGGATGCGAAATATGTGATAAATTATGACTTCCCGGGATCAGAGGACTATGTTCATTGCATTGGGAGGACTAGAAGTGCTGGTGCAAAAGGAATTGCGTACACATTCTTCACAGCTGCTAATGCCAGATTTGCAATGGGATGCGGTGCACAACGTCCGCCTTCAGGTTAGTCGAATGGACCCACTTATAACATGGGCTAGCATGTGCATATACATTTATTGGTTCCCTATCCCTCTTGATTTTTAGTTCAAGTCTTGAGAGGGTATGGTTTAGTTATGCCTGGTTGACATGGGACTATAGCATATAAGTTGATACTTATGTGTAGTTATCCAAAGGGATTTATTTTGTCCTTGGCCTCTGGGGCTCTCAAAATTCTAACATGCTCCAATTGTAGAACTTTGCCTTGTTTGCTGCACACTTTTGGTTCTTGAAATCCTCCTTTATTTTTGTACTGCAATGAATCAGGTCACCGAGGTTTCCAAGACCGTGGGAGGGGTTATATGGCAGTGCTCGTCCATGGAGCTGATTGATTGATGAACGTTAGGAAACTCCAAGAATCCTGTCCTTTATGTTGCTGCTGACATATTATGTTGTCCTACTTGTAAATTAGTGTTAACTTGTAAGAGTAGTGGTAGGAATTCAGTGTTCTTGTTAATTTATTTCGTTCAAGTGTCCATATAACATGTACCATCAAACAATTGTGTATACATCATAGTTCATACAACAACAATTCATTTTGCAGGAAACAACAATAATTGTCAGTTAGATTACCTTCATTTTCCTTCTTATGAACCACACGTTGTTTAGCAGAACTAAAATCTACTATCTATCTACCTATATATATATATATATATATATATATAGTTGCATTTTGCAGTTGGCTGTCTCTGTATTAAATATATTGAAGCTGAAAGTAAGTTGAGTACCAAACAGGTTCTTTTTTCTAGAAAGTCAAGCTAATATGCTACAATGAAAGAATTAGCTACGAATTGATTTTTTTTATTTAATTTTTTATGGGGTTCTTATAAGGTAATATCATTCTTTGATTATGAAACTTCAATTCTAGCCAAGAGAATGAGTTATGCCTCTCCATATAGATTGTCACAAATAATCAAAATTTACCAAATTATAAATAAAATACGGGTAGTTGGCACTCTAACTTTTTTTTTTTGGAAATACAATGAAAACTAAAGCAACATCAAAAAAAGCCCTATACTGGGCACAATCTTGGGAGACTAACTCCCCTCAAGTCATTACGAAGCTATTCCAAACAAGCCGTTGGAGGGACATCCAACACAATCAACAGTCCATCCTGATGAGGTGCATGAGTAGCAAGCAAGCCAATCAGCAACAAGATTGCTTTCTCTATAAGTATGACTAAGCTGAATAATCCAGTCTCTTTGAAGCATACTACGAGCTCGGATGATTAAAGCAGAAAGAGGATGACTTACGTCACACCCTTTTCTATAAATTCCAAAGCCACCTTGGAGTCACCCTCCACAAAGACTCTCTTAAATCCTTTATGCCAAGCCAGATTCATATCTGTCAAGAACCCCTAAATTTTCGCTGAAGTAGAAGTACCACTCCCAAGAAATTTTGTAAAACCAGTTAACCAGTTCCCAGCAGCATCCCTTATGACTCCACCACATGCAGTCCTTTGCCCACCGTCTATGCTGGAACCATCCACATTAAGTTTAACATAACCCTCAGAGGAGAAATTCCAGTGAATAAGACGTTCCTCTCTTCTAAGCTCCTGATGACCAATCTTAATAAGAGTTTCATTAGCCAATTGAATATTACCACAAGTGTAGGTAATGCGCCTAATGAGACTATACTTCGAAGTGCTAGTTTGATCAAAGATCGTCTTATTTCTTTCCCCCCACAAACACCAAGCTATCACCCCAAAATACAAAGGCCAAGTTCGATCAGTTTGAAAAGGACCTTTTAATCCTAGATTTGTCTGAATCCATATGTGAAGATCCGTGGAGAAAAAGTCACTACGGTTATCAGAAGGAACCCAATGCTCCCATAATTCTCTGGCATCAGGACAATCTCTACTGGCCTGTAAATTATCCTCAAGATTATAATGACATCTCAAACACGCTGCACTCTAACTTTCTTATCTGCCTGAGCTAAATTAAATTTGTTAGGATTACGAAAATTTGGATAATTAAATCACATAATTTGTTTCTACAAAAAAAAAAAAATCACATAATTTGTGAATTACTAACCTAAGAAATGTGAATAATTAGTTCAATTCAAGCTCCATTTTTATAATTTGAATTCGAAATCTCTAATTAAGGAAAAATGTACTTATTATTTGAATTGGTTATTAGTTTTTACGTAAATTTCTTGATACATATGTGTGTTTATTATTAAAATAAGTAATTAAAAAGTTAATCTGAAAATAATATCTAAATCAACCAATAATGGAAATAGATATTCAAAAATTAAAAAAGAAAAAGAAAAAGAAAGGTGTCGTGAGAAATAAGAAAAGAGAGATTGGCATAATAGTTCATGGTTTTGCATTGCGTTTGCGTAGAAGGAGAGAAAGGAACTGAGTGTGTGATACTGTGATATAGTGAATGGTTGAATAATAAGGTAAAAGGGAAGAATAGAAGAATGAGTGAAGGTGAACCGAAACTTTATACCAATAAGCCCCGAAAAGGTGAAAATCTCTTCTTTTTTTTTTTTTTCATTCTCCTAAGAAAAATTGTGAAAATCTCTTATTTTTGGTTCCAAGTTTGTGTCTTTGGTAACAGGGCAACACAAACAATTACAGGGGCAACAGAAATCCAACGGTTTTTCCTCGCCGCCGGCGATGGGGACCCACCCCACTGCTCCGCCTCCGTCGCCGCCTCCACCCAAGGAACCCTTTGTTCGCCGCTACAAATTCCTTTGGCCTATGCTCTTGGTTGTAAATCTCGCTGTCGGAGGTGATTTTTTTTTTACCCTAACAACATTTTTTTTTTCAAATTTGGTGTTTTGTACTTTGTTAATGATGCGGGACTTTATGAAATCAGGTTTGGGTTGGAGATTTTCAATATTTATTATTTGTTTGATATTTATTTTTCTTGCATTAGTATTTGTTGTTACACTAGATTGTTGATGTTGGAAAGGAATTAAAGTTTCCTTTTATTTTTACATTCTGAATAGTGATAGCTTTATATTTTGTTTTAGTTGATACTTATTAGTCATATGGTAGGAGGAATTTTTTTTTTTTTTTTTTTTTTTTGGGGGGGGAGTGGGTTTGAAATTTCATGGGTTGGATTCATTGGCATATTTGATTCCATTTGCTGAGAAATGGGGGAGGCTAAATTGACTCTTCGGGTTTGGTGTTGTTTGGTTTGGCCTACCAGTGTTTATTTTGCTCCTCTTATGCGCAAAATGCTCCCTAAAAATTAATGTGCTGATATCGGTTAATGAGGGCAGGATGATACTGCATTAAGCAGCATTTGACCTTTGACGTGTTGATTCATTTGGGTGGTGTGTGAGTGAGATCATAAGTTCTGCAGTGTTGTTTTCTTGGGGAGGGTATTTTTGGTGATCTTCAGGTTCTGCTGTACAACATCCAGTAGGGTGGGAAGTGATTGAGGTCATAAGTTCAAAAGGATGGTTATTTTTTCTAAAGGCCAAAACACAAGTGGCCAAGACAGGCTACCTTATGACTTTATTGCTATGATAGTATGATGCATGCTTGATTATTATTTTCTTATATGATAGTTGAGTTTGCGTGGTAAAAACTGTTCTTTTGTGACTGAAAAGTCATTGATTCAAATTCGGGAAACAATCTTTTTGCATATATGCAAGGGTAAGACTACGTACAAGGATTGCTATCACCCTGCCTTTGCTAGTCGGGGTTTAATGGGGAGTGGTTTTGGTTTTATGATAGTTTGGGTTGCTAGCAACATCATTTCTAAGGTAAGTGTGCTAGTTTCGTATCATTGTAACTTTTAGGTTGCATTTGGAACTGAAGATTTTATGGTTTTGGCAATTATTTTAAAATTGTATCATTTTCTTTGTATTGATTCATTGAATCAATGTTTGACAAACAAAAATATTTAATCTTGTTGAGATATATAGTCCCACATTGGTTGTATGTGCAACTAATGTGGAGTTTATAAGACCTTGGGCACTCCCACCCTTTGAGCTAGCTTTTGGGGTGGTGTATCCCAAGGTTCTTTACATGGTATCAGAGTCTCGCCGCCCCCCACTTTCTCTTGTGGCGTTTCTTAGCACAGGTAGGCTGGGCCTGTTGCATTGTCCACTCTTCAAGCCCTATGGGCTCTTGTGTGAGGGGGCGTGTTGAGATATATAGTCCCACATTGGTTGTATGTGCAACTAATGTGGAGTTTATAAGACCTTGGGCACTCCCACCCTTTGAGCTAGCTTTTGGGGTGGTGTATCCCAAGGTTCTTTACAAATCTCTTACCTTAATCATGTTTAGGACTAATTTCGTAATTTATCAATACGTCATCCTATGTACAGATTTGCAAAAGATCTTTAGCCTTATACTTTTTAAATTTTGCTGAAATAAAAAATATTAAAAACTAAATTGTAATACTTCTCATCAAATGGAACATTACAGTTATTGCCACAGATCTTATGGAAGATGACTGATTGGCTTGTGTCTGTTTCTAATCTTAGTGAGAAACGATATGTGCAAGCCATTTCTCCTCTACATGATTTGGTAAATAAGATAGAGGAGAAAAGGTCTAAAGATCAAAGATATAGAAACTTATCTTTTTGGGTATTATTTTATATATATTTTATGCTGCAGTACTGTTGCGATAATGTGGAATTTGAAGTTAGTTTTATAAGTTATCAGTTTTACGAGCATTCTTTTACAATTTATGTTTTGATGGCTTACTTGTTAAAATGTTTAGCTACAAGTAGGAGTTATGGACTTTAAATCACTTCTTGCATTAGTAACTAGTTTATTCTCTAATGATAATTTAGCCAAAGTCCGCTTCTCAATTAAGTACTCTCTGAACAGTAATGTACTGAAAAATTATTGTCACACTCATTCAATACATTTAACATGAGAGGGTAGTTAATATATTTTGAACGAGTAACTACTCTGCTCTGTTAGCATGCCATAATTTTTGGTTTATTAGATCTTACTCATGCTGTTTTTCTGACCCCAAGCCTATTGTGCTTGACTGAATTTCTATTGTCAAAGTCTATCTTTGTTCTTGTCGCTGTATATTGAACTCATGATTGTCTGAACTGTGCAGCTTATTTGTTTACGAGGACAAAGAAGAAAGATACTGGTGAGGAGGAACAAGCTGCAACTCCCATCTCAAAAAAAGATGCTACAGCTCATGTTGCTGAGACCTCTGTGTCCTCACCGCCCATTACAAATCCTGTGATCAAACGTGAACCAATCCCTGAGGACCAACAACGGGAACTCTTCAAGTGGATATTGGAAGAGAAGAGAAAGGTCAAACCAAAAGATGCAGAGGAGAAACAGAGAATTGATGAAGAGAAAGCTCTACTTAAAAAGCTTATTCGGTCAAAATCCATCCCAAGTATCTAATGATAATTTCCTCTTAGCTTTATCCGCAGGAAGATAACAAAGTTCCTGAATTCGATGTTACTTGAATTGATTCCTCCAATGCTTTCTTTTTTTTTGGTATGATGAATTTTAGATTGTACATTTGTTGGGATATGAGAGTTGAGTCCCCTGATGTCCTAATATGTCATTTGCAATATTAACCTGTGGCTTTCTGGTTAGTGGTTAGATAGTAGTACGAGAAATTGATAGCACTACCAAATGATGGTAGCTCAGTTGACATATGAGAGCTGAGCAGATGGGGTTGAGAACTTGTGTTTGATCTTCCCAGTACTATCTTTTGTGGTATTGGGGGGGAGGGGGAGAGTTTAAAGCTTTAATCCTGGATCCTTCCCATTCCCATGGAGGATACCTGTGGTTTATCCAAAAAGAAATTGATGACACCTGATGTGTATTACCTGTGTTCTTTACTCATAGATGCCATTTTTGTTTTCAATAAATTTATTGGTTTTGTAAATAGAGCCAGATTTAAGTTCGAGCCATCACCACATGGCAACTGGAGAGGTTGGTGAGCAGATTTGCTTAGGTAAACCTAAAACATTAAGATCGGGATACAAAATTTTTTGTGCAATTGCAATGAACTGTGGTTAAATCTGAGTATTCTTACTAGAGGTTTCTTTCATAACAAACGTTCTTCAAGAATATTGGCATATAACATAGTCATAATCAGGTTATTCCAAATGAGCTGTTGGAACACACCATTGTTTTAGAATCTCAGATCTACACTTTATAAATAATAGAAGAGTGGGATATTTTTTTATATATTCCAGCAGCTTTGGTAGGAGGATCAATTTTCTAAATAATATTCTTATGGTTGAGCTAGTCTATCATTTCATGGATAATAATACATTGGAGCTTTTTATATCATCAATTTGTCTTCCTTCAAAGTCATTGTTTATTTCCAATTTCCAAGCCAAGCATATTCTCCATTTTTTGAAGTGGCATGATATTCACCATGTTGAGGCTTGAGAGCTGTGAGTAGAGAGAGAGATTCACATGGGCTTAATGGAAGCATGCACAATTCCCAAAAAGGATGTGGACATAGCTCTGTGCAGACTGGCAGGGTTCCCACAACATGCATGCAAGCAAGCCTCCATCAGGAAGCCACCCACTGAAAACTATATGTTATTTTTATCAACTATTAGATATGTGGATTTCTTTGTAGTTGATGGTCCAACTTCCACAAACTCCAAGAGAATATACAAATAGAGAAAGAGAAGAACAGCGCCGAATAATGGATGTTGATATAATGATATTAAAAGTATGAATGTTGAATTAGATGCCTAAATCCATGTTAGGTAGTTTAACTTTAAACTAAGACATAAAAGCTGAGCTGATGAGTTGAGTTTTAGCATTTCAAAAACTGCATAATCTAGAAATCAGCCACCGTGGGAGTAATATTAAAATAAAAAATAAAAGTAAGAATTGTTTGACTACGGTCAAAGAGAGGTTTATAAAAGCTTAATCAAAATTGTGTAGGCACATGAAATCTTCAACTCGGAGGACACATGCTTCATTATTATTTTTTATTTGATGAAACTAATTATCTTTATGGGACATGTTAGATCCTTTGGATATCCTAGAGAAAGGGCCTACATAGTAACACGATATTAATCTTGAGTCGAGCAACATGACAATTATTTGGCTCTAATTCATGTTTTTTTTAGGGTTTGTTCGATAATTCAAATTCAAAACTACTAATTAAGCTGAAATAATCTTGCGCTAGTTGATCCACGTGCTTGGTGGTGATACTAGCTCTACTACAAAATTGGCACACTTATTTTTTCTTGGTTCAATTGAAAGAATATACTCCCACTGTCCCAATAAATTTTTGAGTGATTCAAATAACAAAATAATATAAGTAATTTTATACAGTATAAGAGAAGTAAAGGTAGATGTGGTCTCTAGTTAGTATATATATTATGAGAAAGGATGGAAATGATGATAACGTGAGAGGTTGGAGAAGATTGGGATTGATGAATTTTAAAGAGAGAAAGATAGAGAAAAATACAGGAGTTATGAGGCGGGGGATGATGATGTTGATGATGATAATAATAATGATGGTGGATGAATGTGGTTGGACTAATGGAGTTTCACATGAAGGCACGAGGTCACCCAACTGCTACAGCCAAAAGAAAAGGAAGGGGGGGGGGGGGGGGGACGCCATAATCCAATGTGCTGCTTCAACAACAATCATGCCCTTTTGTGGGGTACTTCTCCTTATATATTCTTTTCACTATATAATTTGAAACAAAACCATAAACTAAGCAATACAAGACCTGCATTAACGGTTAATATTTCATGATCTCATGATATCAAAAGCTTATTTTTCTTACTTTACTACCTTTGATAATTTTATTTTTTTTCATACATTCAAGTGTGATGAAGTTTCACATTGGTTGATAACAGACTAACTGAAGACTATATAAATGAGATGATTCATGAATCTAATACCATAAAGTTTTAGATTGAGATATGAGGTCGGACACGCTTGTTACAATTCTAATATATTATCAGTGATAGTCTACATAACCTACTGATCTAAGGCCGACATTCCAAACCCGATGTCAGAGCTCCATAAGGAAAATGTTGACGGTAGCACTAAAATTCTCTATGGCTTGAAAATTAAATAATTGAATACTATGCTTTTCTCGATGCATATATAATTATTCTCCCTAAGGCAAAAAAGTTAGCTCAGATTTCACAAAACCTCTCTCCTTCTCCCTCTTGCACGCGTACACACACATGCACATTGAACTCTTTCATAAAGAAAAACGTGGTTATGGCTATGGCCACCATATATATAACTACGCATATTTAAGCCAAAGCTTGTAGTAGTATTATAGAGTGTCTGCGTGTGCGGGAAAATAATGGATAGTATTTGGATTGTGTTTGTGACAGCATTATTTCTCTTGTGTACTATGATCCTTTGCAAGAACAGGCCTAGACTTATGCTCAAGTCAAAACATAGAAATCAGCTTCCATTAGGCACTCTTGGATGGCCTTTTATTGGTGAAACCATTGAGTTTGTTTCTTGTGCTTACTCTGATCGCCCTGAGACTTTCATGGACAAACGACGCAGCTTGTAAGTTCATCTCTAATGATTTTTCATGCACCACTGATTTAAGCATGCAGTTCATTTTACTTGAATTCAGGTTAATTCAATGCTAACTTTTTATGAAACTTTTTTCTGTATTAACTATTAACAATTCCACTCAACAAGTTTGCTTGAGGTTCTGCCATGCCAACTTAAAAGTGTGATGCTGTGACTCTGTGTGTGTGTGTGTGTGTGTGTAACTAAGTAAAGCTTTTTGGGTTGTTAAAAGCTTCATCATCTCTTGGTTTTGTGGACAGGGTTGAATCTATCTAGTTATGTCGTTTTTTACAAGGATTTGGGTGTGTTGCAACTTGCAGGTATGGCATGGTGTTTAAGTCACACATATTTGGAAGCCCCACAATTGTTTCAACTGATGCAGATGTGAATAAATTTATACTGCAAAGTGATGCAAAGGTTTTCGTTCCTTCTTATCCCAAGTCTCTCACGGAGTTGATGGGGGAGTCTTCTATTTTGCTCATCAATGGAAGCTTACAGAAGAGAATACATGGACTCATTGGAGCTTTCTTCAAGTCTCAACAGCTAAAGGCTCAGATCACCAGAGATATGCAGAAGAATGTTCAAGAATCAATGGCAAATTGGAGGGAGGACAACCCTATATACATACAAGATGAAACAAAAAGGGTTAGCTCTGTTTCCTTCTCTTCTTTCTATTTCTGCAGTGGTGTTTGAGTGTGTGTTTGTGCCTATCTTTGTGTTTGCCTCTCTCTCCCACGTGGGGTAGGGGTCAGAATCTATCTCCAAAGTCTGAACTCTTATCTTTACCTGCAATCTCACCGTGACTTCTTGAGAAGAGTTCCATGCAACAGACACAAGATACAACAAAAGATGCCCCTTCTCTTAAATCTATATTTGACATCTTGTTCTACGTTCAAGTTGTTTATATGAAAGAACCTACTCAATGGTTGTATGACAAAGTGACCCTCACTTTCACCTTATGTTTTTGTATGAGCTGTGAAAGTAATACTTGGTGATAGAGTTATCTCTTTGACAGTCTGGCTCCTACTTATGTTTCAAGATGATATATATAACTATAAAGTAAAAATCCTAGTCATCTTTATGGGGTTCATAATCATTTTGCAGGAATTATGCTGCATTGAAAATAAGATTTGCAATTATAATTTACTCTTTTCCAAGATACCAACAATTGCTTCTTTTTTGTTCCCAGATTGCCTTTCATGTACTAGTCAAGGCATTGATTAGTTTGGAACCAGGTGAAGAAATGGAACTTCTAAAGAAACATTTTCAGGAATTTATCTCTGGCCTAATGTCTTTACCCATAAACCTACCAGGAACTAAACTTTATCAATCTTTACAGGTAAGTCAATTAATTAGAGATTGCTTTTTTTACTGTACATACTATGCTTGGCCTGGCAGTAATGACTTCACATTTGGTTTCAGGCAAAAAAGAAAATGGTGAAAATAGTTCGGAGAATTATCCAAGATAGAAGAAATAGTGACAACTCCAAAGTTCCAAAAGATGTAGTGGATGTGCTTCTTAATGATGCAAGTGAGAAATTGACTAATGATTTAATAGCAGATAATATTATTGATATGATGATTCCAGGGGAGGACTCAGTGCCCGTTCTTATGACTCTAGCTACAAAGTACCTATCAGAATGTCCTGCTGCTTTGCAACAATTAACAGTATGCAATATCTTCTCAAACTACTATAATGAAATTCACTTTACCACAAATTGCTCAATTCAAAGTGGTCTCATTTTGTTTTGTTTATTTAATAGTTATGCACAGGACTGCTAATGGTCTAGAAGTAGAATAACATTTAGTTATTTTATTATATAAAAATCATGGGTTCGAATTCAGGAAACAGCCTATTTGCAATTATGCAAGGCTAAAGCTGCGTACAATGATTACCTGCACTCCACACTCGCTAATCGGATTTAACGGAGAGTGTTTTATTATATAAAAATCATATGTTGTGAATGACCATTATGCTTCTTTTCCTCTATGTTATCAAAGATTTTGAATTTTACTTGGACACAATTGGCTAGTAGTGATAGGGTTATGTCCTTTCTATACTAGCTATTTGACTATGAGTCCTCAAAAGAGAGACTAACATCACACTAGTGGAAACGTATGGTAAACAATCGAACATTTTAGTGGTAGATACGTATGGATTTTGTCCTCCCATTTACCTAAGCTTTTGAATAATCTCAGTGGTTGTGGTATATCATATAAGATTGCAACATGTGGCCTTAAGAAAGTCTTCGAAGTAATTTCCTGATTAGCTTTTGCAAACGACTTTTGATTACTCTCAGGAGGAAAATATGAAGCTTGCCAAACTCAAAAATCAGCTTGGGGAGCCCTTGTGTTGGAGCGATTACTTATCATTGCCATTTACTCAAACAGTAAGGAAAACATGGCTCCTCATCAAAGACAAACAAATATAAATTCATAATCTTAAACTTACTTATTTTATGTTCTACTTATACAGGTTATCACAGAAACTTTGAGAATGGGAAATATTATAATTGGCGTTATGAGAAAGGCCATAAAAGATGTTGAAATAAAAGGGTATTTAATACCACAAGGGTGGTGTGTATTTGTAAATTTTAGATCAGTTCATCTAGATGACAAAAACTATGAGAGTCCATATCAATTCAATCCATGGAGGTGGCAAGTAAGAGAAATTCTCTACTCTTTAGTTTTATTTCATTTTTATGTTATTTGTTTAGCTTAAGTTATGGATTGAGGACTTCAGGACAAAGACATGAGCAATTGCAATTTCACTCCTTTTGGAGGGGGACAAAGGCTGTGCCCTGGCCTTGACTTGGCTAGGCTTGAAGCTTCCATCTTCCTACACCACTTAGTTACTCAATTCAGGTAATCATTCTTCATTTAGTTCTAATAAGTGAACACTGAGTCATTATTAAATGTTATCATGCCCAAATTTAGGACCACCTTCCCTTCATTAATATCTCCTTATGACATTGGAACCAAGGCAAAATCATAACAGACATGAAAATTTCTGCCATTCTAAATACCAAGTGGCGTTTACTTGAGCTTTTCTTTTCTTTTAGATTTCCACTCATGCTTTTCTCTTTTCAAACAAAATTTGATAGCAGAAAATCATAGATTCCACATATATGTCTGGGTGGGGTCAATGGCAGAAATGTCTCTTTCTAGCATATGGACAAAATGAGGAATCCAAGTTGTAAAGTTTATGGGGCCAAAAGGCCTTAACATGCTACATCAAAATTCCGAAAAGCCATTTGATCCTAATCTTTGGTGTATAATAATAATGTGTTACTGTCAACAGACTTCTCATAACAATCCTAATTGTGAGGAAAGCTATGATGCTTCTTGAATGTCATGAACTGCTAGAACACGTAACATGAGTCATGACTTGCTAAGCTAGAGGATTTTTATAATAATAATTTTGCAATTTGACACTTACTTTAATGGCATACACAATACAACTAATTGACTGGTGAAGTGCCCGCAATCCAAGTGTTTGTCTTCTAGTTAATGATGACAAGGGCTCACAATCTCCAAGAATCCATTAATAAAAGGGAAGATATACAAGACTGGACCAACATAGACACAAAGAATGTTATTTCATTAAAGAAGTACATTCCACTACTGTCTCTTGGCACTGTTTATTCATTTAATTATTTATTTTCCAGCTTGAAGCAAAATTACCTGTTGTTGAGAACCAAATTTTCATAGCATTATTATTAGGGAAATGATTCGTTTACAATTTTTTTTTACAAATTACAATAAGTATGACCGGTCATACACTCTTGATTGAAGTATAACCGATCATACTTAGTGTAGTTTGTAAAAGTTTGTAAATAAAAAGTTTATAAATATAACCTTCCCCTTATTGTTATATTGTTCCTTAGGACTAAAGGTTTTGAACTCTTATTGGCACATGCTTCTATGAAGATATAGCCTAAAAAAAAAAAGATGCTATCATAAGGAGCGGTGCTGGTAAAATCAGATTAGGTCTACAAAGCTTTTGATGATATCAGTCAGTCAAACACCCTAAAAATTGAGGTTTGCTAGGTCTGCATAATATACAATTCTATAATGCATTTTTATGCTTTTCTGACTGTTAGCATGTTTCAAACTTCTAATTCATTGAAGAAAAAATATTGCTAAGTAATGCCATGCAATGACAACTTCACATACTAAAATTTAATGTTTCAAATGCAGATGGTATGCTGAAGGAGATACTATAGTGAACTTCCCCACTGTAAGAATGAAAAGGAGGATGCCTATATTAGTAAGGAGGGTGTAACCTTGAGCTGCCTTGGCCTAAAAAGTATGAAGCCACTTCTACATATTGGTACAGGACAACCATTATATGAAAAATACAAAATGCCAAAGAGGACAAATGGGGGGGGGGACCCCAGAAAGATTGGCTAATGTGGACACACGTGTGGAGGGCTTCATAAGCTTTTCTGTCCCCTTGCTTTAGTCTCTACACATAAAAACAATACAAAGTTTCGACTTTTGAGGGACCCTTGAATTAGGCATTTACTTTTCACCTATTCTTCTTTTCCCATTTTACCTGCTATGTAAGGGGAAAAAAGGTTGATTGTAAGGGAGGGCACACTTACATCTTGTTTTTGAATCAGAGTTTTTTTTTTCTTCCCCACTTTTTTGTTCTTTTTCCTTTTCCTCTTTCTCCTTTCTTTAGAAGAGGAGGGAGGGATGATTGAATAGGATGAATAAGTGAACGTGGACAATAATTGTTTGAGTTTAAGGGTCCCATAAATTAATGATATTCACAGGGCAACTTTGCTGAAAGTTCATTTTAAATATACATTTATTCGTACTTTAGATTGGAATAATTGAAGAGGGAAAGAAAAGTGAGTAGTATATACGAGGTCCACCGCCTTTCAGTTTGATGAATGAAGTGAAGCAGCTACGCCAGAAAAGGCACTAAAATCAATTATGGGTTTAAGATTCTTGATCCTCCATGAACTCCAATTCGTTCTTGACAAAGTGTACTTTAAACCCAACCCTTCTTTCTTTTTTAGTTCTTATCTTGTTAAGATAAAAAAGAAATAGTTCATAGATTAAATAGAAAACTGCATTACCTAAATGAATTTATTAGTTCACTTTATCAGTTGATGTTAAGTAATATGGATTTCGTTATGAATGCTCTTATCTTTAGTTTTGAATAATGTAATCGGCAGTATACCACTTATGTTGGATGGAATAATTCAGACATAATCTAATATATGGGGTTAGTAATTTAGGTTCATCTTGGCTGCTATGACTGATAAATATATAGTCCTTTTCCTCTTTTTTGTTTTAAAAAAATAAAATAAAAAAGTTAAGGAGGAGAGAATTTTCATTCTATAGTTTGGATATATCCAAAGCTTTAACAAAAGCATATAATAGAACTTATAAACAACTTATCAACAAAAGACCAAAATTGAATTGAATCCAAGACTGTATTTTATTATAAGTTGTCACAAAAATATTTTCATTTTTTTTGTTTGACAAATTTTTTTTGCAAGTTGACATGCAGGTCAACTCTTGACACAAATACACTAATTCGTGTTATTTACCCAAACCTGCACATGACCCTTTTTATCTCATGGGTTGACACAACTCGTATTTTGACGTGTCGTGTCATGAGTCAACCCACGGATCATGACACATTTTGCCATCCCCTAAGATATGATAAGTTATCGTAACATATCATTCTTATCGAGTCCATCAAATGAGCCTTTAAACTATTTTATATTAAAAAATCAAAATTCATTTTTGTTCAAAATAAATAAACATTTATTTAAAAATAAAATTTAGGTACGCTAAGAGGAGCATATCTTTGGTACTACAGGAATAAATACTCTTTTATTAAAAATAGAAAAATATGGGGATGAAAAAATAACTATACAAAAATGGATAAAATAAGAAAATCAAACATATTACTTTTTTCTATATTTAGTAAAAGATGCATCGAGTCTTTAGTATTCTTGTAATTCTGAAGATATTTTCCACTACGAGGATGAACTCGAAAGATCACTGGACTCCAGGCAAAAAAATAAGCTCGCAAAGATATAAGGATTAGACTACCTTCTTTGCCATTTTTATTTACGTAATCTTAAAAAATAAAAAATTAACAATTACAATAATTAATTAAGATATATATTTTTTTTAGATTTATGGACTAGCCCACTGCCAAACCCATTGCAAATCAACTTTGGTCAGTCAAATTGGACCGAGTTGTGTTATCTATTAACATTTTAATCATGATAATAAATATATTTTCAATGTTTCAAAAATGGTTTCCTGAACTGCACAAATAAATTTGGTACCCCGCACCAAACCGAGATGTACAGGAAACATACCAAACCAAACCAATCCGTAATTTGATCCAATTTAGTCGGCTTACTCGGTTTGGATCAGATTTATGAACAACACCACTTGAGGGGTGGTGGTTTGGTCCACTTTCCATAATTTTTCTCTGGTCGGAATGAACACTGGGAGAGTGGAACCGCACAATCAACTTCTCAGAACAGTAACCGCTGATGCAACAGAACAGGCTTCCACTCCTTAACATTTATGATTGACATTGTATTGCCAGTGGGAATCCTCAACTTCGGTGTTGAAAATGAAACTGGTATATACTGTGGTGATGTCCCTGCTCAGTGACCAAACAAAAAGGGAAAACTTCAATTAAGTTCCAGTAAATGCAATGCATACCAAATTAAAATATAATCCAAAGTTTGGTAATGTTGTAGAGAGTTGTTTTCGACTAAATCACTTTCGTTCACTCAACTCATGTCGTAAGAAATTCAACGATTAACTCTAATCACATGAGCTCAAAAGAAGAAGAAGATGATAGATGAGCAGAAGAAGAAGAAGAAGAGGAGTCAAATGAGGACAAATTAAAAGAGAAAGACCTTAAAATAAAAAAATAAATATTATGTTTTACTGGGATTATTACAAAATGGTAATGTCTTTTCGATCCCAGTCACGACGTAAAAGTTTTATCTCCAGGCCATCACCAAACTCTTTAGTCTATCTTTTTTTTTTTTTACTATATTCTTTCTCACATCTCTTATTTTCTTTTTTCTCCTATAGTTTTATATAGTTTATAATGCTTGTGTAGTCAAAGTTGATCATTGAAACTTTAGGAGAAATTTCATGCCCGACAAGTTAATGGAGATAAAGCAATTAAGAAAAATAATTTCATTTAATTATTGACATTATAAAAAGTGGTTCCAAACAAAAGACTGTAGGGGTATCCGCAGATCGAGTTCATGTAACGTTAACTTCGACTCAAAGGTCAAATTGTTAAAACCGAACATTATATATTTTTGTTTGTGGGTCAAAAATTGAAAGGTCACACGAATTGATTGCAAAATTTAATTCTTTTACTAAAAAAATTAAAAATAAAAATAAAAATTTGAATAAAATATGTGATTGACTTATAATCTGCAATGAGATATGTCAAAATTCATCAAAATTTCAAAAAAAATAAAATCATTTTGTATGATAAAAAAAAAATTGACGGATTGACACAATGGTCACGTGGGTCAACCCATGACACTAATTTGTGCCATTTACCCAAATCCACACAAGTCCATTTTATGCCATGGGTTGACACAACTGCATTTTGACGTGTCTCATGGTTCATGACACTTTTGCCACTCCTACATAAAGAAATATATAGGAAATTGAAATAAGAGTGATTCCTATTATAATGACCCAAGTCAGTTTGTGGGCAGGAAGTTAACTTTTCTTCCCCTCCTATATACCTATCTGGAAAATTGCAATCGCAATAAAAAACTTAACATTGTTTAGAGAAGGTATAAGGTAAGTTATCAAGGTGATTAAACTGATTAATTCAAATGTTATGATTGAGACTGCTAGTTTTCCATTCTTTTTTTGTCCCCTGCCTCCTACAGGTCTATCATGTATTTTTCTCTATTAATGTGCAATAGGAGTAAGCATTAAACATTAGTCTTAGCAAGTACCAATTTCTCAAAATTTTCGGATGGTTTGGTCTGATTTTTTATTTTTGTTTTTTTTAATATATTTTCACTAATAATTATAAAAAGAGATATGTTATTCTACTTACCTTTACCTACTACTTTCCAATATAATTAGATCAGAATCTCAACTACCTTTATTATTTCTCTCTTCTATTAAGATTCTGATTTAATGGTATTGGAGAGTAGTAAGCAAAGGTGGCAAAAAAAAAGTAGGTAGAATAACATATCCCAAGAAGCTACTTGTTTTCACTTTGTTTTCTATTTTTAAGAATTTGCAAAGGTGAAAACATTATGTCTAATTCTCAATATACTATTTGCTGATTGATAGACAATAGTGACACGACGGAAAATCAATTATGATGGAAAAAGATATTAGTGAAAGAGGTAAGGCATAGGAGTAAATTACTTCAGATAAGGAAGAGTCAGCGGCTTCAATAGTGTTGGGTGCTGAACAACAAATGCTCTCCACTCTTCTTTGCTTATCCTACCATCCTTGTCAGCATCAGCATCTTGAAATGTCTGATAAATTTTTATTTTTATTTCAAAAGGGTTACTTGAACGATCCAAAATTCCATCAACAAAGAGGGAAAACGTTTCTGCAAACAACTACCTTATCAATAATGGCTTCGAGGACTTCATTTTCCAGATCCATCCTACATTCTGACATAATAGCAACCACCATTTGCTTAACCTGGAAAAAGTTGCAGGTTAACAAAACAGTTCCAAACATCGGTAAACAGGAAAGTGCAGGGCCAAACAAGTTATACAAATAGCAGGCGTTCTCATGGTTATTGAGTTTAATATATTATTCAATGGACATAATAAGATTGTCATACATTTGGACAAGCAGAAACCACCTCCACCACTTTTCTTTATTAAACTTGCCAAATCAAATTGATATTGAACTAAGAGAACTCTAATGCAATATTATTCAATGATAACAAGAATATATTTAAGCCAAAAACATATACATAACCTGGACATGCCAAGATACTCACTTCTTCTCGCTCAATATATCCAGTCTGTCTCAAGTCATACAATCTAAATGCAACTGCAAGCAAACCAATAAAAGGAAATTGATATTTTATTAATACTAATAGCATTAAAATGGATTATATTGTTGAAAATATAGAGATTTAGGTAATGAAGGAAGAAAAGAGAGAGTAAAGACTTAATAATCTGAAATTGATATTGATTTGATTAGAAGGATTTATTATGATGTGATACAAACTACACATCACTAACCCTAAGAGATCATCCAAGATATTGTAGACTGTTCTAAGATGCAATCAAAATATTACGATTTATGAGATACTTTTTATACATGCCAACCCTCCCCAGTAAACTAAAACTTATTAAGCTTTAAGTTTGTTACAAGTGAATTTTTAAAAATAAATAAATAATAAACTAGCATTATAATCTAGGCTCCACAAAACATAGTTGGAAAGGTGCTGGTTGAGATGTCAAAGAGATGAGTATTGCTGGAAAGACAACACAACAAGATGGTTGAAATGATCGTTAACCTGAATAGATGGTCAGAATGTTGCATGACCAAAGAAAAAGAGACTTGGTTGGAATCATCCGTGGAAACTAGATCAGAATCTCAACTGTACACAACAAGAATTTGAACTTCTCCAAGTTTGTCAAGAACAACATTTGGAAACTTCAAGTGGCAGAAAGCTCAGGAGAACCAAAAAAACTGAAATTGAAACTGAGGCTAGTGTGTATCACAACCATTAGGGATTCAATGCTGGCATGACTCATTAGTGAAATAGAAAAAATCAACATCAATATGATTCACAATGGAAGGCTGGTATGAATCACAGACAATTCAATATTAATTCATTACAAAATGACTTATTAGTAAGAAAGATGTCATTGGAAAAGTCGTCGAACGATGAGGTGAGGTCGGTTCAGGTTGAAACCACAGCGAATGGGCTGATATGAAGGAAAATAGTCTGATAGTGTGGTTGTTGGCTGAAAAACCGTCAGAGGCGAGAGATGATGGAGAGGGGGCTGCCAAAAAGACAACACGGCAGTGGGATGAAGTGATAAATGATTTCGGAGTATATGGTGGCAGTAAGAAAAGCCCACTGACTAAGACAGAAACAACACTAACAGCAGTGGAGTGGAAAGATAAAGAGAGGGTGCTGGAAGGAAAATACAGAAAGAGGGACAACTAATTTGAAGGAAGAAAAAATACAATATAGATTGAAAATCTGAAATTGATATTCATTTAATATGAAGAATGTATTATGATGTGATTCAAACTACAAAACACTAATTCATATTTATATTAATTAGACTCCAAATCCTAATTAAATAAGAAAAAAATCATGAAATATAAGAAAAATATGGAAACTTATCTTAAGAAATCATCAAAGGTACTCTTAAACTATTTTAAAATACAAGGACATTTTATATATTCTAACATATAAAAATACAACTGCAAAACGCTTGCTGAAGTCTTACAATCAATTTTCTTTTCCATAGGAGTATAAGGATGAAAGATACAGAGCGCATGCACAAACTCCTCAAATTCTATAACGCCATTTCTTTTTTCATCGAAGAGATCAAACACCTAGAAAAGTTTGCAAACAATAAATGGACTCAATTATACAAGTCAAAAAGGAAGAAAAGCAGTAAACAGCAGATCTTTCTGCAAAGCAAGTGTATCTTTGTGTAACCAAAACAGATAAATTGTGTAAATTCTTATACCCTATCAAGGAAAAGATTCTCGCCAGCTGTGGTATTCAATAGTGCCAATTTGAGCTCTTCCTTCATACCAGCAACAAAAAAGAGTTAAAGGATGCAATCTGACCATAAATTCAACATTAGTGCTGGTAATTATAAACCTAACAGAGTAAACAGCCAACATAGAATTTAGAATAAAACCTTTTTGGATCCCTAACAAAAAATATTGTTACCACTTTCGTCCCTTACAAAAAAAAAAAACCTATATTAGTCATTTTTTATGGACTAAATTGGGTCTTAATTGAATTTACGAGGGATCACATTTTTAAAGAATTGGGATTGTAAAGGGACCAAAAGTTAATTTTTTTTTTTTTTTTGTAAAAGAGGAAAGTAGAAACCGTACTCTTTTTGTTAGTGTACTCTATGATTTTAAAAACAAAATGCACACTACAACTACCACATAGTTAAAAATGGATAAAAATGTCAACTTTTCTAGTACGAAAAGACAATTTGAGAATCAGAGGCAAAGAAGCAGAAATTGCAGCAGTAGTTACCTTGTGTATGAGGCCATCATCAATGATTGAACTACTCAACTTCTTGAACATCTCACGCAATGCCTCAATTTCATTAACAGTAACTGCGTCACCACATTGCCAGAAATCAGTTTTTCAAAAAAAATTAAAAAAACAAAAAAATAAAATTGGCATTTCCAAAACAACACAAACTCAAGGCAATGAATCAAAACATTGAAAACGAAAAATTAAACAAAGAGAGGAGACGAACATGGAGAATCCTTAGCGAGGTTGATAATATCATCAAATGTAGAAGAATAGATCTTCTTTTTAGGACGATAGAAATCGAAGCAACCAGATAAACTGAAAAACAAGGCTTCAGCTATTGCAATCAATGGTATGAAAACCGCACACAGCGTCTCTCCAAACGTCAAGCTCGATCTCTGAGAATCAAAATAATAATAATAATTAGAATTGGTTTTCTCGGTAACCAAACAGAAATAGAAATCGCAAGTAAGAAAATTCCCTTACCAGAGACAGAGAGTTATCTGGGAAGTCCATGTCATTGAAAACTTTCCAATGCAGACCCTAAATTTTCCCAAATTTTTATTTATACCACTAAGCTCTCTAATATAAGAGAACAAAGGTAACAACAAATTAGCGGCTAGTTATTCTCCACGCGGATCTCGTTTTCCTTTGATTGAATCGATGACGTCAAATTGGTATTGATAGTTTTTTTTTTTTTATATTATTTATGGTTTTCTTTTTTTTAAATTAACTTAACCTTAATTATCTTTTTGGACGAGTTGGTTCACTCTCTCGATATCATTACAAGTTTTGACTCTTTGAGTTGGCTAGGCACTAATTCGGCTAGACCCAAATCATTTTAAGTTTCGAGGACGAAACTTCTTTTAAAGAGAGTATAATATAATATCTCAGAAAAATAATAATAATTTATAGTACAATAAATTAATAATAATAATAAATTAAAAATTAGTAGTAATAATAATAATGTGTGTGTTTATTGAATTATTAATTGATTGATCATTTATGCATTAATGTTTGATTGATAATGTTTGATTAGTAATTTGATTAGATATGACAAGTCAGTACTGAGTCAGTAATGAGTTAGCAATATTTTGAGCCATAAAAAATTAAGAATCAAAAGAACGGTTTGTTTTTTCTGATGTTATTTTAGATAACTTTATCTAATGTTCATCAAAACGACGTTGTTTTGAGACGGAAATCATGGTATTTTTATAATTTTAATTTATTTCAGGGTTATAATAGTCTTTATCACTTTAATTTTTTAATTTTTCAAACGACGTCGTTTCGATAAACATTAGATAAAATTTTCTAAAGTAACATCAGAAACTTTTTTTCCTAAAAAGAATATAGTATATGAAGCCAATATCTGAGTCAAATACATTAACGAAGAATAAGAAAATAATTGTACGAAACTCCTATCTGAGCCCAAAACTTCAACTATTAATAGAGACTTAGCTTAAATCTCACCAAAAGTGATATATGTGAATCAAATTGAGACATTTTTCTTTTCAGTTACTTAGTTCTATTGTTATTAACTGAGTTATTATTTACGGTTTCATCCTTTATTTGACTGGTCCAATTCTAATTAGATAGAATGATATATGCCGCAAATTTTTTTTATTAAATTTTAATACAATTGCCTTCTCAGCAACTCGAGATTTGATTAAGCTGAAATAATAGTTGATCTACATTTTCTAATTGGTATTGTCGTGTGAGACTTGTCTAATGAATACGTTAAAGATGAGTACGTTATTCGGTTGCTGCATTTGACTGTATTCAAAATTATGTTAACGAACACGTTTTTTAAAAAAAATTGTTTCTTTACAATTTGTTTTAGCGTGTGGGAGCAAATAACGAAGCTGGACTAGAAAGGAACAAGAACAACCTCAGACCCTAATTAGGTACGAGATTAATTAATAGGTTCTGGATCAGTATTGGGTACGAGATTAATTAATAAGTTTTTGACCAATTATTAGCCATTAAATAAATAATGTGTTGCTTAATTGACATCTCTATGACTCTATCAACGAGTGGGCCGTGGTGACTTTTAAAATAAAAATAAAAATTAATGATCATTTGTGCATTACTTAACTTCAAACTCAAGTAAAATTTAAAAAATATTTAAAGTTATAAAAAAAATATGCATAACTAATCTAGATGAAATATAAAAATTATAGAAAATATTTAATATTGTAAAAAGTATAAATAACTAATTTAAAAATTGTAAAAAAAAAAATTAAGAATGGCATGTTCATTTTTTAAGAGAAAATAAATGAAAAGATTAAATTACTTTGAATAAATCAAATTTTAATTTTAATTTTTTTTCATTTTCTATTGTGTGATTGTTGCACCAGAGAATCAACCGTCCAAGCTCCCTCTAAGAGTAAACAATCGCATGCCTCAAATAACAAAGGTAGCCACAATAAATTGATGCGCCAACGTCATAAAATTATTAGTGCAGACAACAACAACAATAATAATGTGCATCCGAGTAGCTTGTGCGAAGAGGCAAATATATAATACGAAACAATATTCCTAATTAATAAAAAGAACATTTCTTGGTCTTGGTATCCAGCTTTACTCGTTCATCTTTGGAAATATGTATAAAGGATCGATTTTTGAATACCATCGTATGTTCATATTTTGTCTTTCTATCCATTTAGACTTCTTTTAGGATCTCTCCTTCTAAAGGACTTGAGGGTGATAGATTTATTAGATCGATTACAGTCTTAAGGAGTTTGGCATGTAACAACATACTTGAGACTCGCTCTTCCATGGTCCGTTCATCTTTTCGGTTACACCATTCAGTTGATGCGTCTTTGGAAGTGTCTTCTCCAGCTTTATACCTGCAGTACATCTCAAATGGACCTAGATATTCTTCGTCGTTGTTAGCTCAGATGACCTTCAGCTTCCTGCTAATCTCCTTTTCAACCTTTGTATGGAACTCCTTAAATGCTTGAAGTACTCGGTCTTTCATATTTAGCAAGGACACTCACTCTTCTTGTGTTATCATCGCTGAATGTAACGAAGTAATGCGCACTACCTGGATGTTTTTTTGACATATAACACACGTCGATATGGACAAGATCAAGAACATACCTTATTCTTCTAGGCTAGTCTAGTCTCCTAAAAGAAACTCAATATTGCTTGCTGGCTAAACAATGTGTACATATCTCTAGGAGTTTACCTTTCAAGTTCGACAGCAGTTCCTTCTTGGTGAGAATATGCAGACATTTCTCACTTATGTGTCTGTGTAACACCCCTTAAATTTCTAATAATTTTTAAAATATTCTTATAATATAGAAATTGCCAAAATTCACAATAAATTATTTTTTTAGGATCTTATAAATATTGTGAAAGCTAATCTAAACTAATTTGGAGAAATGTTATTGCCGCACCTGTACAGGAACAAGTGCAAGACTAGCTTTATTACATTCATAAATATTAAAATAAAACCAAAAACTATGTCTTATACATAAAATTTAAGACTAGCTAGAAATATCTGAGTCATTGGTCTTACTGCTCACTACTAGTCCCATGCTTTACAACTTGTTTCACTGAAAATTTACTCCCCCGAAGGATCATTACAGCTAGGGATGAAACTAGGCCGGGCCGGCCTACAGGGGCCTACGGCTCAGCCTACGTCAGGCCAAACCTGACCTAGTACATTCGTAAAATAGGCTCGGCTTGGGCCTTGAAAAAATTTGTTTAATAAAAAGGTCGTATGCCCACTTTTACAAGGCCTGACCTATAAGCCTACAGGCCGGCCTATATTGTACTGTTTATTTTAAATAAAATAAAATATAATAAGTATGCCTTGAAAAAAAAAAGATATAAATTTAATCAATTGCGATTATTTATAACTTAATTATATCCGATTATACTTTAATAGAAATCTGACTTTATTTCTTATATAGGAGGAACCAACATTTCAGCATGTTAGATTGTGCATATGAATATATTAAAAGGTTTTTGGAAGATGTTATACTTACTACAAACATCATGATGTGTTTGTTGGATTCATATAGTTATTTTAATTTACATAGTATGAATTTGTTTGTTGGATCTAATGAAATATATGTTATTTAGTTTGAGCATTTTGCTTTTGAAAATGACTTAAATACAAATTGAATGAGTTTTGTTATGATTCATGATTCTGTTTGGACGTTGAAATTGTGATTTTTGGTTTAGCAACAAAATTTGAGTATTTTATAAAGTTAATTCATGATTCTGCTTGAAAGTTAAAAATTAACAGGCTAATGGGCTAGGGCAGGCCAGTTGTTTTTTTATAAAGGGGTCAAGTCAGGCTAACAGTTAGACTCGTATTAGAGGCTTGGGGCAGGCCAAATTGAGATTTTTTGACAAAAGCTTGAGCTTTTCAGGGCAAAGCTTGGCCCAGCCTATCCCACTTTCGCCCTAATTACAACACACAAACACAAATACAAACAATCAGCAAAAGCTAATATTCCTAATACATAACACAATGAGGATAGTCATAAGTTAATCAATAATTATAATCAACCCAAACATCAATCAAGGCAATTTTTTTAGAATAATTATATCTCAATAAACCAGCATAATCAACTCAATGATATTTTAATAAGGATAATCATCAACTAACATATTCAGGTAATCACATTATTACATAGATGATAATAATCACAACTCAAATATTCATTATAATCAAATCAAGTATCAAATCGTGTTAAAGTTCATTTAGTGTATTTAGTGGGAAGAGAACCATGATAGACCTAGAAAATCCTATTGTCAGTCTACCTCGTGACCCGGGAAACCCTGTTGCCAGCAACGTATAATCAAAATTGGTCTTCATCAAAATATCAAATACTAGTGTGCACACCTCTTCCCAAAGTTGCTACTAATACCCCAGAAAATCTTGTTTTCAGATACCATTTTAGGAAGAACGGATAACAACATTGTCACATATCAAATAAATATCAAAGAAATAAAGCTCAAATGTTGTGTTCATCACTTTCAGGAAGTACCATCCCAAAAGCTATCTTCCCACCATTAGTTTATTTCAAACACACACAATTAGAAAAATTCAATCTTGTCACAATGACCATATTTGGAAAATTTCTTCTTTGAGTATTATATTTTCTATATCAGTTGCTCAAGGGCATCGTAATTGTTCAATTATACATAATTTTCCAACATCTATCAAAATTAAGGCCCAAATCATATCAATTATCCATCATTATAATTTTCCAACATCTATCATATCAATTATCTTTCATCATAGTTTTTCCAATTTATTCAAGAATATCATAACTCAAATATCCAACATCTATCACAGAAAACCCAAATCTACTCATCATATCAATTATCTTAATTTTCCAAGGTATCAAAATCATAATTTCCGCAATTATTCAATAGGATCCATATCACGCATATATGGCACATAATTAATTTTTCAAAAGATACTATAATATTAATTTTTGAAAATTTGAATTATTTCCCAAAAATATTATATAATTAATCCCATTATTTTCTAGGATTTAGAACCCAATAAAGTTTCCAACAGTATAATTAACCTAAAAATTTAATCCAATAATTTTCATATAATTAACCTATCTCTAGGGATTAGGATTACTTATTTTCACACACACACACACACATATATATATATGTAAGAAAAAATGTTTCTGCAGTTACTGCCTATGAAGCACCGACACTTCGAAAATTCTAACGTGTCGTGTTCGACACTTCCCGACACTCTCCGACACTTCGACACTCCCCGACACTCCAACACGCGTTATAGAAATTCAAAAAAAGTTTGAAAAGTTGCGATGCGTTGAGTTTTTAGTTCCAACTATTAGATTCGTTGGATTATGATTATCATTTTATTGAGTTTAATATAAATATTTGGGATATCTTATGTTTCTTTGCAAAATTGATGAATATTATAAGTTTAGTTTTATTTTTTTATTAAATTATTGAATATTAAATATAATATACACTACATAAATTAAAAATATTATTTAAAATCAAAATGTGTCCTAACGTGTCGAAATCTAACATTTTTTAGAACTAACGTGTCGGAGTGTCGTGTCATGTCGTGTCACGTGTCCCGTGTCGGTATCAGTTCTACATAGGTTACTGCAGATAAGTTATCTGCATTCTTTCCAAAACAACGTCGTTTTGATATTGAAATCTTAAAAAATTATAAATATAAAGACTATTATAACCCTGAAATAAATTAAATTTACAAAAATATCATGATTTCCGCACCAAAACGACGTCGTATTGAGCTTAATGCAGATAACTTATCTGCGGTAGCTGCAGAAAAAGCGAACCCATATATGTATTACTCCCTAAATATCAGAATCACCCTATCAAATTATCTCCTAGAATTGGGATTACATATAATACATTTCACATAAGACAACCCTATGATATATAGGATTAATTACATTATCAAAATTCATATAAAATTAACCTAAGGCTTTTAGGGACTATGATTACATGTACTAAAATTAATAAAACTAATTTATTACTCCCTATAAATCAGGATCATAACAAGTTTCTTTAAAGTAATTTATTATTACCTAAAGATTTGGATTAGGTCAATCAAAATTTATAAAATTAATATATTATTCCTAAAGGTCAAGATTACATTAGACAAAATTTTATATAAAAATTAATTTATTATTTCTAGAGGATTAGGACACACCTAATAAATTCATGTCATTTACACCTTATGATATTTATTTGTTTTTAAATAAATTCAATTCCTACCGAATTTGACTGTTGTCTTGTGGGTTCACTAACTAGCAATGAAATAATTACCCCCTAAATGGTACATAATTTAATTACTTACCTTTCTTTTAAAATAATCAACAACAATGTAGAATAGGAAAAACCAGCTTTTATCATAAAATAATAAAACTTAACTTTATGTTAAAAAATATATATGTATGATTAGACTATTGTAAAAATTACATAGTAAGATATTATCTTATTTTTTAAACCTTTAGTAAAGAAATAAATAATAACTTAAGAGTCTTAATTTAAGTGCAATCAAGTTTGTAGGATTACATAATTTCATATTCAAATTCCACTAAAAGTTCGTTTGGATGTCTGATTTAAAAAAAAAAAAAGTTACAAAGAAAACCAAAAATTTATTTTTATTAAAAACTAAAAAATTTAGCTTCTAAAAAAACAAAAAACAAAAAACAAAAGCCAAATATTTTTAAAACTCAAATATTTTTTAAAAATCTAAATAGTTTTAGTTCTTATAAAAATAAATTCTAAAATAAACAAGACATAAAAAACACTTTTTTCATAAGTTTATCCAAACAGGTCCTAAAAATGCCGTGTAAGAAAATGAGTAACTACCAATTGAGCCTTGATCAGATCAAATCTTTACAACTGGGCCAATCATGTGATCTTCCTCTACACAAAGGCCTGGAACCTCCTTGGGTCAGAGCATCTTGTAGTTTGGAGTTTGGAGCAGCTTTAACCCATGGGTCTTCTATGGAACGCGACGGGGGTGTACCTGCAAGACACTCTGACGCTCAAATCAGATATGGTTCAAGCAGGTTTTATTATGTAGAAGAAGATGATGTACCTTAGTGTTGATACATGTATTTATAGTGGAGAGATGAACAGCTTGGGGGATGACCAGCTTTGCAAGTGGTGAGACATACTTGGAGGTGAAGTATTCAGACAGATAAGGTATTCAATATTGATGAGCTTGCTTTAATATTGAGAAGCTTGTTTGTCATGTAGCCATTAATGTTAAGGTGCTTGCTGAGATAGTCTTGGTGCTAAAGAGATGAGATAGCAGTATGTATTTATTATGGTGGAGCTTGCTGTCATGGAGTCTTCAATATTATGCAGCTTGCAGCCTTCTTGGACTAAAGTTTTGCTTTATTGTGAAGGCGTTAATTCTGGGCCTTGTATTTGTATAATATTTATCCAGATCAAGCCTATTTATATCTTTAAAGTGAATTTAATTATCAATCAATTTTAATCAAGTCAACCAAAAAATATGTGCCCTTTAATTTGATTGTATATATTTTTTAAAAAATATAGTTCCATCCCTACAGCCTAACAGCAAGGCGAAAAAAAACCTTATATATTATTTCCGCAGTTTCATATTATTATCACCCAATATATATTTTCGTTGATTATTATAAAGAAGTCTTTGTACCCCCAAGTTAAAGAGGAAAAAGAATAAAAACTCCTTTTCAGAGAGAGCAAGCATTAGACAGGAATTTAAAAATTGGTACTGTTAAATGCTTTTTATTTTTATGTTGAATGATTTATAATTTAATTGACATTTTCAAAAAAATTAATTAATTTTGAATAATCTGCTTCTCTGAAGCAATTTATGTGTCCATTTCCATCTCCCCCAAGCCTTGAAATGACAAAACTCAAATTCCATCACCTAAAGCAAATTTAAGTAGAAAAAAAATGAAAAACACTTGAATTCAACTCCAAATTATGTTTTATTAAATTCTTTGTCTATATATCAAATATTGTTGACACCAGCACATGCACAGTGCTTTTATATTATTTAGCTTCCATGTATATTAGAACACTAGTGTGTTTGTGTGGTAATATCTCAACTATATGTCTAAGTTGTTAAGTCAGGGGGCAACATTTTAGATCTCTTCCCCTTAACTAGAGAATTTGTATCAGGAAAATGAATTCCATCAATCATGTCCTTGACATACCCTTCTTGTGTAATCCTCACAGGGTATGTTACAAGGTGAACACCTTTCATGTCCACAATTTCTTCACTGTTGTAGATTTCCCACATTTGATCTCCTATTGAGCGCATCCTCTGCACACATTCCAAACATTCTGGCTTTAAGAACAATTCTTGGGCACTATTGGTGTGCTCATACCATAGTGACATTCTGTATGCATGAATATCACCAAGGCTCATTTGGTTATCAGCTCCATCTTGAGACTGGTAGCATCCTATGGCAATCTCAGTGTCCCTTTCCCCGTCCATGGATCTTTGGTTCACATTAGCTGATCCTATTAAAATGTATAGGTCGTCCACTGATGGCACATGCAAGAAAACAATAGTTGTCAACCAAGAACAGTAATAAAACTTCTACCATAATTCAACAATTGCACACTTCAATTGCATAGATGTTCATCCTTTTATAAATGAGTCATAGAATAAACTATTAGGCAACAATGTTTTTTTTCCGGTAGATAATCCCCGTATAACCTACTTTAGCCACCTTGTCGTTGGAGTATGATCCTAAGAATGACTCCTCGTTAAAATAGAGGATGTATTGAATCACTGTAGTCGAAGGAAAGGTGAGACTAATCTCCCTTCGAAAGAGAAGCGATTTTCCTCTAACCGTAAAAAATTCAAAAAAATTGCTTTGACCAAGATTTGAACTCTGTTCAAAGCAAACCCTTAGGCGCTCAGCTTGAAAACTGAGCTACCCACGGGGGTTACATTGGTATCTTAAATGATAACAACAGGTGGAAAAGAAAATAATAATCGAAGAACAATGCAATAATACCTATCATGAGCTTGGAGTGAACATAAACCATGAATCTCCTATTTTTTTGAGCATTCCAGTATTGTGTTTCAGGATGTGGAAAATCTGGAGGAAGATACTCCCCTTGTCCCTTTTGCTCCCTATTTGCAAGGCAGAAGAAATTCAAGTAGTCTCTTGGGTGTCCTGGTTCCCCACTTTCTTGTATTGCTTCTCCAATCAACCTATACATCATTTCCATTGTTTCTCTAGTCCAATGTAGTATATCTTGAACGGATTCACTTTCAGGCACTCCTTCTGGCCACATTGGTATGACTATGTACACTGCAAACCTCTTCTTTGCTTTAATCTTATTAACCACCTTGAGTGCAATTTCGATGGGAATTAGATTTGTGCAGCCACAATGCCTATCTTTCTCCCACCAATGGCATCCCCCAATGAAATATTGGTTTTCAATGTATATAAACCTTTCAGCACGCCTAATTGCTTCCACATAAGCTTCATGGATGCTCCTCTCCACAGTTAACTTTCTAAACAAGTCACCAGCTGAGACATGGTCAATTGACCTGTATACTTGAACTTTCCAATCCCTTTCTATTGAACTGCTTGTTCTTGTCCTAGGCATAAGATTTGCCAAGGTGCTAGCAGGAACTAGAAGAGAAGGATCACACTGCTTTGTCCATCTTTGCTCAAAATTGGTCAACACATCCCCAGCAGCCTCACCAGTAACACAAGCATGAGCATCATGCCATGGCACTCTTGGCCCTCCTTTGTTGAGGCTAGCTCCTCCAATGTTTGTTTGGTAGAAGTCATAACAATGAGATTCCCTAATGAGTGTTTGAAACAATGAATGTTGCTCTGTGTCATATCTGCCATCACACAAGTCTAATCCACCCACAAAGCTCGTGAGTTCTCTATCATTAACAGATTTGTGTGCTTTGGTGTCCACTGTTATAGTCTTCTGATGGTGAGCAAAGAGTGTGGGAAACTTGTGGTGTAACCTGGGACACTTTCTGCATATTACTTTTGTGTGGTTGAAATAAGCAAAAGCATCCTCATCATGAGTGTTCATTACCCCTTTGTTCTTAATTAAGGGCAAAGAAGTTTCATCATCCCAAAGCATAACCCTCACAGCCACTCCTTCCTCTGCCTTCTTATTCAATAGCTCACCAAACTTTATTCCTCTGGCATGTGGGATTTCTGTATTAGGATCTCTAACCTGCCCAAGGATCATATTAGCTTCTCAAAAATGTTGATCAGAATAAAAAGAAGGTATGAAATGGCATTATATTTACCAGAACCATCTTGGGATTGAAGGACCAGCCTGCAATATAAACTATATACTTTGCACCCTCAATGGCTTTATAAACATCCTCCCATAGGTTTTTTGGAACTCCACATAGATCAAAAGGAGGTTGGAAAGCAGAAGAATGATGAGCATCATGATAAAGTTTGACCTGACAATTGGACCTTTGTGGGAATGTAGCATCCCTCAGCCCTTGAAATTCATCATTGCTTAGTAAATTTGCCCAACTTGGTTCCAGTTCTGCTGGCTTGAAGCATAATACAAACTTTAACTTAAGTTTTGGGTTTGGTTTTCCATTTTCCATGATGAGAGGGAAGAACCCATTGATCAAATTTCCTTCCTTTAATAGTTGCTGGGCCTGGATATGGACTTCCCCCAATATGGAAAATGATGTTTTCAGTGTAATGGTGATAGTTGAATCAGCTGAATGAGCACATTGAATCTTAAAGGTTTGGTTCCAGACACGATCACTTTCTTTGCTTGTTTTTGCAACCTTCTTGTTATCTATCTTGATGGTCACGTAAGCAGGCTTTCCATTGGTACATATGCACTGAAAAAGAAAAGGAAATAAAATAAAAATCCATACATATACACATAGCTATACACACATATATACACATATGCACATACATATTTGTGTGCGGTGTTAATCGAACTCACATTGAAGGGAAATAAAGGTGAGTAAGGTGAGGAGGCATTGAAGATGGTAGCTACGATTGTTCCATGGAGGAGCCTAGGCATTCCCTCCATTGGCTAATTAAGCTTCAAATATTCACAAGGAAGAAATTGGAGAGACAATGAACTATCGACTTTGCTTTACCATATGATGGATTTCGTGTCTATTTACCATTATCAATTATCATGTCACATATTTATAGGAGAGTAAGTTCATTGTTGCATATAAAGAAGCAAAGGGAACCTTGGAATGCAATTGAAAGTTATCAACTTGAGAAAACTTGTATAACTTTGCACAATCCAACCTTCAAGTATTTGCCATCATAAGTTTTAGCTTAAAGTTAAGTTTCTTAAACCCCAAATCTTACATAATTTACCGTAAGTAGTAAGTACGAATCAAAATACTTGATCTCGTATATTCTCAAAACATTACACCATATCCCCTTGCTTTCACATATAGGTTGTTTGACCTATGCTCACTTAACTCTAAGCCACAACAATTCTATTATTATATGTAGGCAAAACTATTTCTGCCATTGTTGAAGAAATAGTTTTGTCTGTTATATATACAAAAAAAAGTATTTAATTAAATTTGATATCGGATTCAAAAAATAAAAAATAAATAAATTAGTGAATCTTATTTTTTTTTGTCTGAGACAGACATCTCTTCTCTGTCACTGCAGAGAAAAACAGGATCCTTATATGTATTATATGTAGAGCATTACTTCTCTTATGTAATATGATAGAAATCTTGTCCGTAATTGACTCAAAAAAATGAGGCCCGTTGATTTAAAAAAAGAAAAAATAATTTGACACGTTTTTTCATATGTCTATAACATGAGATTGCTTTCTCCCGTTGTAGGAGAAAATAATTTTAATTAAATTGTAAATCTTATTATATGACTATATAACAATTTGAACTATTCAATAATAGAGTCAACATTAAAAGAAGAATAAAATGGAAAGGAAGCTACATGCAATATATAATATCTTTTTGGGTTCGTTTTTTTTTGCAATTACTGCAGATAAATTATTTGCACTGAATTCAATACGACGTCGTTTTGAGACGGAAATCATAGTGTCTTTGTAATTTTAATTTATTTCAGGGTTATTATAGTTTTTATAATTAAATTTTTTAATATTTTAATCCCAAAACGACGTTCGTTTTGAAAGTAATCTGATGTAACTACAGGAAATATTTTTCTGTATCTTTATTTGACAAAGCCAAAAGAAAATTCAGAAAGAGTTGGCAACTTTTACCAGCGTGGAGACGTGGCCTTGCTGGCATGGACCCTTCTTAAGTCGTTATTACGTTGTCGTAGCGTTATGATTTGCCGTCCCTACAAGCTTTGTATGATATGGCCTTAATTGTCCCCTGAATAGTTCATTTTATTATCCCTTTAAGGAGGTTAGTTGCAAGTGCGGGATCCTTCCACGGATATAAAATAAAAGCATAGCTATGTTTTTGTATCCCACTATCCTATGATTCGCCATTTTTAGTCTCTGTCATTTTCAAAACAACAAATACTAAAAACCAACTTGGCTTGAAATGAAACATGGAGTTATGAAATTGTTCTCCATGAATATGATCTTAATGTTTTTTGTAATATCCCGTTCTAGAACCGGATTGTTATTATTGCGTACGACATTAAGCGCAGTTACAATCACCTTGGTTCAATTAGAAAACCGGATAAATTTTTCCTTTTTAAACGAGCCGGATTCAAATAACCAAGTGCGTGATCATAACTATATATACTTCGCGGAATAGTGGGACTAAACTTAATATTGTATTCCCATTCTACTTGACAATACGTCGTTAAATGTCTTCATCACTTTAATTATCAAATTAATTCTAAACTCCTTTTATGATTCCCATCTTCTACTATGTTATAGTATTTTTCATTAGCTACGCGTGGGTTCAAACCGCGTTCAAATCGGAGCACCGTAGCCAAAGTTATGCATTTTCTAATAAAAGGGTGCGAAACCTCCAGAACCCCCGCGCCCGGAGCGTGAGATCCACGCCCAGAGCGTGGGAAAACAGAAAGTTGACGCCCCAAGCGTGGATCTGGCGCCCCAAGCGTGGATGCTACTGTCTGATCTCGTAATTTGGCGCCCCAAACGTGAATCTGGCGCCCCAGGCGTCATCCATAGGGCTGGGTGACCCAAAACAAGGTCATTTAACCTACCTATGGTTTTCCACTCATAACTTGAGTTATACTCACTCAAATTATACCATTTTGGTCTCTATGGAAAGCTAAAACTTCCATAGAGACATCAAAGTCCAATTCCATCACATTGGGTATGAAAATTGGTCAACCGGACAGGATGTATTTGTTTTCTCAACATTTCCCAATTTGAACAAAAGGTACCTAATTTAGTTTCCAGTTCAACAATCCAACACTTAATGAACATACATATATTAAACTTAAAGTACTCATCAATATACAAATCATACATCTATCAATGGTCTATGAATTACAATCCTATACTTGTGAGCTACAAAACAACATGTATAATATCAAAATATAGGATCCTCATGCATATGCTAATCCAAATATGGCCACTTGCCACTGGTGGCTCCTGCAGCATCCTTACCTGAAAGGGGGTCCCCATAACACGGGGTGAGATATACGAATATATTTAGTAAACTAGGGGTCCTTGGAGCATCTCTCCACCCCACAGTTTCATATCAGTGTAATAGCAATAACAATAATAATGCAGTAAATACATATCTATGCAAAGTGCAATAACATCTCCAGGAGAAATCCCTCGAGCTCTCAAGCTGTCCTAAGGAAACTCATATGCAAATAGTCCTACTGGCCATCTAACTACCAAGTATGATTTACGCATCGTCATGCAACATACCAACATAGGGAAACACCATCTTATGCCACACCAAATGCATACACATACGTATAACAAAGCATTACACTATTTTATTGCATTTATATACACTATAATCACCACTACCCTTTCAGGGCTTGGTGGAACAATCAAGGGAATTACACCCAAGGTCCGAAGGCTTACCTCAAGCTTCAACTCGACCTTTGTTCACCACCAACAGGTTCCACAGTCAGTCAATTAAAATACTCCACTTCTCAAACAAAACCTACACAAGGTTTAATGCAATTAACACATATTGCATCCAATAACATCTCATAGCTATCAACCAAGCTATACTATTCATACCAAACATAAGCATGAACTTACCTATCCAATGGAGCTAATCAAGCTCCATAACTTGCTCCAATGGTTGATCACTTACGGTTGGTCCAAATGTCTCAATCCTAGACATCACAAGGACACAATCATCAATCAACCATATCAAACCATTGATCTTAGTTGCAAGAAAACTCTTCAACAAGCATGATAATCTTGCAATATACCAAGTATAGTCATTTAACTAACTAGGCTCATTTTTACCGATTAAATGACATTCCTAGCATTTTCCATAACATGCTCTAAGCCCCATTCTTCCTAGAACATAGCTAATTTAACAACATTTCATCAAAACCCCAATTTACTATTCATTGAACCCTAACTCATGCAATTTTTCATGAAAATAAGGTTTAAGGGGTAGAATCTTACCACCAATGGTTGCACAACCAAGGATTGATGGCTCCTCAAGCTTCAATGGAAGTAGAAACTCTCAAAACCCCAAATTTCACCAAATGGGCGAATTTTTGAGAGCCAATATCCCTCTCCACAATGCTCCCCACTCAAAACAAAGCTAGGATTATGAAAGAGGAGGAGATTCTAAGCGATTTAGGCTTTTGAATCACTCAAAATGGTTGAGATTAGCAATCTCTAGGCTTTCCCTCCTTCTTCCTCTCTTCTCCCTCTCTTCTCTTCTCCTCCTTTCTGTCGACGGGTTTCTTGGGGGGGGGGGGGGAGGAAGTGGGTTTTTTTGCATTTTATCACTTAACATAAGTTAAGTGGTAACATGTGGTTATTAGTTCGTCTATCTATTTAACTCCAATAATCACCAAACTTTACCCAAAAGTCTGGAATATTATTCTAGGAATATTTACAATTTTGTTTTTATATTTCGGGTTTCTTGGGGGGGGGGGGGGGAGGAGGAAGTGGGTTTTTTTGCATTTTATCACTTAACATAAGTTAAGTGGTAACATGTGGTTATTAGTTCGTCTATCTATTTAACTCCAATAATCACCAAACTTTACCCAAAAGTCTGGAATATTATTCTAGGAATATTTACAATTTTGTTTTTATATTTTGGGCACTTTCGCCAGTGCCCAATTATACCCCTTAATTTTCACTAAGTACACTTTTTAACTCCAAAGTGACACAGATTCATTTCATTAAGCCTTATGCTTAATTTTACTCACTAAAACATGCTTAATTATTTAATTACATGTCATTTGCTAATTAATTAGGTTAGGCTATTATATTTTTCACCCCTGCTTCAATAGGGCATGGTAGCTAGATTCAGCTTGGTAGAATATGTGATTTAAACAAATGGAGATAGTTCACTTGTCGCATGACATTTGAGTAGGTGATATGAGAGCATGTGTTCGATCCTCCCAATACTATCTTTGGGAGAGATTTAAAATTTTAATTCTAGACCCGCCTCAAATCAGACTAGTCACGAAGTGATAAACGGATAAAATATTTTCAAAAAAAAAAAAGAATATATGTGATTCATCCTATAATTATAAATTTAAGATGTGCAATGAAGAATTCTAACCTATATTAAGCAAGGAAGAAATCGGAATAGTAAAGTTAAAATGTATCACCTTCATCTAACTGTGATTTTATGTTGAAGTAACTACACTTGGTTATGATAGCAAACCACAGTTAATCAAGTGGCTAACAATGCAACTTTTGCCTTTCTGAATAAAATCTCGATAATTTTATTACAAATCGAATCTATTCGAACAATTTCCTTGTCATTTCAACCACCAACAATAGTTGGTATATGGTAATCTGATAAACTTTTGTTTCTCCTAAACGTAATATACATGGAACGAAAATAAATTCCCCCAACCTTCCAATTGAGGTTGTTAATTTCTCCATATAATAAAGCTAAAAATGTATGTCATTTTAAAGGATGTAAAGTTGTATCATTTTAAGAGAGAGAAAGAGATAGATAAAGGAGGAGAGAGAGTTGACAAAAAAATATAAAAGTGTGGATCCCATCTCTTTGTGAAAGTGAAAAGATGTAAGTTGTGTCATTTAAAATTATAAACATTTTTCCCTATAATAAATGTCTCCCTAAAGTAATTATTCAAGTACAAATAGGGTGGAGCCACATAGGTTGGAGGGGCAATCACCTTCTTTTACTTTTCAAAATTAACTACTAGTATTACTAATAGGGGTTTACATTTCTACATGTTGTATATGCAGTAGTTAAATATTTGCTATATATATATGTGTGTGAAAATATTAATTGTGAGGAATCATAACTATATAAAAAAAAATATTAAATATAAAAAATTATAACCATACATCTATTATTGTTGTACGTAAAACCGACATAAAAATAATTTTACCTTATGGTGTTTCAGCTTATGTTATTAAACTCGTACTCGTACTCGTATTCTACCAAAAAAAAACTCATACTCGTACCGAATTGGTTGGTGTCAGGTTAATAGGTAAGCTGAACTGATTGAATTGAAATTATATTAATATATCCAATAAATACTATATAACTAAAGGGAAATCATTTTCTTATGTAATAGGAGATAGTTTTCTCATGTTGTGAGACATCGAAATTCGTACTATCTTTTTAGTTTTTTCTTCTTTTTTAATAAGTGGTGGGCTCCACCACTTATTGTGTCTATGACATAAGAGATAATATCTCATGTGACATGAGAAAAGAGAAGCGCATGACTAAAAGTAATATTACAATTCACAACTAAAGTGGTGTGACTTAATAGTTAGCATTTCACTCCTCTTCTTTTAAGTATTAAGTTCGAATCTTAATAGTGATAAAAATAGTTGAATCACGATTTGAAAATTGAATAAAAAATAGATTTAAATATGATAAAATTAATTTTATTTTCTAACCAATCTCAAATAAATTTGATATCTATCTAAGATTCTGAATATTAATATATAATAAATAAATACTATAAGAAGAATAAAATTAGAATTTGAAAATGTATTACAAAATAAATTTAAATGTGCTAAAATTTAATTTATTTTCTAATCAATCTAAATTATATTCGATATCTATCTAAATTTGTATAATAAATAATTTTTTTATAATAAATTCAATTTATTTGAGTATTTTTATTAATATTGAGTTATATTATATTGTGATTATGGAGTATGATTTATATATTATGAGTGTTCCTATTTAATTGAATAATTTTTTATTTTAATTATAAATTTTATAGGTAATTGAAAGATTCCTCACCCCATAAATTGTGAAATAGCTTCAACATTACAACCCAACTAAGAAAGCTAACGCCAACGCCCACGTGCCCAAAATTTGCTTTGTCCAGAAATTCTTTGGTTTTAGAGAGAATCTCACATTTCCTCCAGCGAATTATCTCATTCTTACTTCAGTGTAGTATTATTCGTCCAATGCACCTTTTACGGCTTTTTTACTCTTATAACCCTTTATTATTAATTAATTATCGATTTGACCTTGATTATAAACTATTTCAAAAATTTAACCCTCTCAAAAAACATAACACCAATCTGCCCCTGTTTGACCGTTGACCACCAAGCCTACCCGGGTACACCCCTCTGTACTCGGGTATTTTTTGAAAATTTTTGTCTACCCGGGTAGGGAGGCGTGTACCAGGGTATTGTTCTTCGCACCTGAGAAATTGCTTGAATTATTTACCCGGGTAGAGAGGGGTGTACCCGGGTAAATCTTCGACCACCCGGGTATGATTACTCTTTGGATCTCCCATGCACTCTTCTTCTCCAAGCTTTGAATATGGAGGCACCCACTATCACATGCTCCGCCTCTGCAACTTTTTTGGGTCTGTAAAGCACACAAATATTTTTCAATGATTATTTTAGAAAGGGAATTCTCAGTTAACACTATAAAAGTAGACCCCATCATAATCGATACGAACAGGGACCGCTTTGATGAGCAGTAAAGTGTTGATGTATGGAAATTCCAAATCTATTCTCAAAGCTAAAAGCTCTTCAAATTGGTTAGGCATGCTTAACTTGATAATACTGATCTATCTCATTAGCTGTAAAAAAGAGAGAAAAAAAAAATTACCATGAAACAATTAATTACACATCCGCAAATATAATTAACTTGTGGTAAAAACAAATAAATCATATATGTTCTTATATCCATCAGCTACAAGTTGCCCCAGTTATAGCAAGTACCAAATGGGTGGTCGAAGATTTACCCGGGTACACCCCTCCCTACCCGGGTAAATAATTCAAGCAATTTCTCAGGTACGAAGAACAATACCCGGGTACACTCCTCCTTACCCAGGTAGACAAAAATTTTCAAAAAATACCCGGGTACAGAGGGGTGTACCCGGGTAGGCTTGGTGGTCAACGGTCAAACAGGGGCAGATTGGTGTTATGTTTTTTGAGGGGGTTAAATTTTTGAAATAGTTTATAATCAAGGTCAAATCGGTAATTAGTTAATAATAAAGGGTTATAAGGGTCAAAAAGCCCACCTTTTACTGTTTCAAGAAATTAAGCTAACACCAACCTCCTTCCAAATTTGAAAAAAGAAAAACCTCAATACTTTTATGTCTTTACTCGTTTGGAAACTACATATCATATCAACTATCAATTATTAAATCAACGTCTTCTTTGATTTATCACTCCCAATTTGCATATTCAGAATGATACACTCAATCATAAAAGATCACGACTTAAAACCCATAATACACTCATAAAAGTAACACCACCTTGCACACCGTAGGACCCAATTGCACTGGAAATTATTGAATTCCACTACACTATTTCATGGTGTCACGTTCCCTTTCGAAGCGATAAATCTTTGGTAGTACAGCTGTACCTAGATTCAGTGCATCTTATCAATCAGAGCATTACACATCAACACATCAGAGGAGAGAAAAAAAATTTAACTGACATTTTCATTGTTGGAATGTACTGAATCTTGGTATATTAAAACCAAAGTTCCAAAACCTCTTTATAATTTATAACCCTCGTTATTCATCACTTTCTATTCTCAAACATGACAACCTACGGCACAATCCCAACCTCGCCAACCCCGAAACTCGAGTACATCCCACGCGCCAAGCAGAGGATCAAAGCTGGCCTCGGAACTCGCCGGTCATGGAAGACCATGTTCGACCTCCGATCATTCGGGGTCCCCTCCGGCGGCGTACCCGTCGCTGTTTCACGGGTTCGGGTCAACGTGGCGTATTTCCGCATGAACTACACCATGGTGGCGCTTCTCATCGTGTTTCTGAGCATGTTGTGGCACCCCGTTTCGCTCATCGTGTTCCTCCTCCTCATGGCGGCGTGGCTCTTCCTCTACTTCCTCCGCGACGAGCCACTCGTCCTCCTTGGCCACCTCGTCGACGACCGCCTCGTGCTGCTCCTCATGGCTGTGCTCACGGTGGTCCTCTTGCTCCTTACTGACGCCACCCTCAACATCCTCGTCGCGGTTCTCGTTGCGGTGGTTGTCGTGGTGGCGCACGCCGCGTTCAGGAAGACGGAGGATTTGTTCCTTGATGAAGAAGAAGCCGTTAATGTTGGCGCTGCTGCTTCTTGACACTTCTTCTTTTTCTTTTCTTTTTCTTTTTTTAATCATGATTTTTCTGATTTAGTGAATTCTGTAAAAAAAGAAGAAAAAAATGCTTAGATTTGGTTTTTTTACGGTTTAGAATTTTGTGTTGTTTTTGTATGCTTAATTTATTGGGGTTTGATTTTAATATGTTAGTATGAGAATTCATGTTGTGAGTCAACTAGTGGTGAGATCCATATTTATTAAAACAAAAACAAAAAAAAGTTTTGCACGCAAATCGAAGAGTCATAACATGAAAATTGAATTCTCATGTAACATGAGAAAATATTTTCCCTAGTTTATTATATGCTAATGAGTTGTTCAACAAGGTGTCATTAATACTTTGAAGCGAAAATCAAAGTATTTTTGTAATTCTAACATATTATAAGATTATATTAGTCTTTATCATTATAGCTTTTTAATCTTATAATTTTAAAACGACATCTTTTTGAGCACTAGAGATCACTTTATTTCCAGTAACCGGAGAAATACTTTTCTCAATAACAATTCATCATTAAGCATATGGATCAATTGATAAAAAATTGTTCTAACTTGGCTAGTAGTCTTAAATTCAAATGTAGAAGAAGGCAAATTTATTAAAATTTTGTAGGACTTTAATATTCAAAACAAAGAAAGAAATAGAAATTCAAGATCTGATTAATCACAGCTGAATTTAAATTCAAATAAAATTATAAAAGAACAAATTTGATTGTAATTTATTTGGTAAAAAAATAAATAATAAATTTAACGTGATATGTGATTTAAGATTTGGAATATGTTTTGAATAATTTAATTATAATTAATTATTTTAATTTTTAATTTTTGTATTTTTGAAAGGTAACTATCATTATATTTATGTTTAGAATTTTTTTTTAGAATTTTAAATTGATTTATATCTAATTTATAAAGGGATGTTTACAAAATCTTATTATGACAGTTGACTATTTTGCTATTTTGATAATAGAAGAACCAGCGTATGTATATCTCTTTTATCGAATCATAACTTTTTATTTTCTTTTTCATGAAAAGAAATCTTTTATAATTTAAGAACTATATATACACACTTGACACTTACAGTATCTTTATTGTATTTTTTATGTAATGAGTTAGAAAAACACATATTTTAACACTGATTTTCTCTTTATCTTTTTGCTTTAAAAAAGAGTAATGAGTGAACTCATTCAAATCGATTTTTTTTTTAAAACAAAAAAACTATTGAATTGATCCATCCTGGCGTCCTGGCATTTGGAACATGCAACCCACACTACTGAATTTATAATTTAAGTTGTATAAACAGATTTTACGCAATTGTTAAATAATTTATTATCACGTTTTTATCCTATCTAGTAATATACAGTACGTTATCAAACATTGAATGATATTATCCTATATAATATATTATCTTATACAATATTATGTCAAACATATTAAAATTTAATCAGATCTTATATAATCAGACCTTATACTATTAGATCTTATCATATATTGCCTTGAACGCAATCGAACTCATGAATTTATATGCAATTTTGTGACGTACTGTTGGTGAAGTCAAATTGCGTAGTTATTAGTCAGCCTCTTTTATCTAGTGGCCATTTAATAGAAATCCAGCAGACATGACCCGTTGAAAGTGGATCAAGAACAAGTTTTAAATCCTTTCATTTACGCAACAGTAGGCCTTTTAAGGACAATATTGCTGCATGATGCTGGCCACCCTTCCATCCAAAACTTGTTTATATAAGATTTTGCAAGTCTCTGAAGTGAAGACTGAGTTAATGATTATATCTTAATAGGAATGGCGTATTATATTTATTCTTTTATGCCTTTTTTTTTTTACTTCTTTTCACATAACTTTCACATTTTCTATCTCCTCCGGTTGTTAGTTAAAATTACTACGATCTAATAGTGTATAAAGAAATAGATGAAATAAAAAATAAACATAATATCTTTAATCAGTTAAAATTGGTTTGAATTCAACTCAATATGACTTTAAGAAAAGGATAAAATAGTCATTTTATATTTAAAAAGTGCTTTTTTATTTAACATTCAAATGACATTTTTACTTAAAGTACTCTTGAAATATTGCATCCAAATACAAAATAACTTTGACTTTTAAAAAAACTGAATCGTAAAAAGTTCTTTTTTCAAAAGCCTATCCAAACTGCTTTAACCAATAGGAAAAAACAAACAAAAAAAATTGCTATAACCGATCGAGATAAAAACAAAAAAGTGAGATGTTATTTTATTTACGGGAAAACTCCTTATCTCCAACAATCTCAAAAGATATTATTCTAGGGTTTAAAAAAAGGTTTTAACCATCCCGAATCGGATTAGTTGCGAAGCAATGAACCGATTGGAATATTTAAAAAAAAAAGGTTTTAAACCCTCAAGAGTAGTTTAGTTGGTAATTGAACTCCCAAGGATTTGTTTGGGTGGTAAAGCTCGATGCACCATCTGTTCCAATGAGAAAGTAGCTTTTGGGGCTATATTCTGAATACAAGGTGACTGGAGGAGGTTAAACGAGGATACCTCCAGATTCATACCATAAAAAATATTTAAATATTTCTACAATACATGTATATAAGTTATCTACATTCACTTCCAAAACGACATTGTTTTGGGTTGAAAAATAAAAAAATTATAATAATAAAGACTATTATAACATTGAAATAAATTATACTTATAAAAACACTTTGATTTATATCCCAAAATGATATCGTTTTGGGCTCAATGCAAATAAATTATCCGCATTCATTGCAAAAAAAACGAACCCTTAAAAAGAGGGATAAATACTTCTCATGTTGTTGTAGAAATATTTTATCTCCCACTGACCCATAAAACATGTGAGGTCTGCCACCTAAAAAAATAATTGAGTCACAAAATTTGATGAGACATAACAGGAAGTGTTTTGCTCTTAAAAAAATGATGAATATTCTATTATATATATATAGGTAAAATCATTTCTACAGCCGTTTTACGTACAACAATGACAGGTGTATGATTATGATTCCCCATATTTAATGCTTTCATCCTTTGTATGGTTATGATTCCTCGTATTTAATGCTTTTAAGTATATATATGGCAAGTATTTGATTGTTGCACGTACAACAGCTGCAGAAATATAAACCCCTTATATATATATATATATATATATATATATATATATATATATAAGGAAAAATATTTGTCATTTTAAGAGAGAGATAGACACAAAATAATATTTATTTGTTTAAAATTTAAATTAAAAAAACCTTCCACTTTCTCTCTTATGATTTTCATTTCTTGTGTCTTAACTTATGTCATTTAAAATGACAAACTCTTATATATATATATATATATATATATATATATATATATGAGTTTTCAAATAGCATGAGATATATTTATCTCCGTCCAATTCAAAACTACGTCGTTTTGTTTATTTATTTCCTTATATCAATTGATTGACCTTTGAATGGTTATAATTTTCTTTTTCTTTTTCTTTCTTTATCACCATTAATTCATCTTTGTACAGTTATGACTTAGTAGTCAGAGATAAAGTTATCTCAAGCAACTTGAGAAACGATAAGTCATATATATATATATATATATATAATATATATATATATATATAGACAGATTATTCTGCTTACTCCCATTTTTCCTACCTTTACCTACCCCTCTCAACACCATTGGATTACAATGTCATCCAACGGTTCAGATTCAAAACATAAATAAAATCCCCTTTACTCTTTTCTCTCTCTCCCCGATTCAAATCCTTTATATCTCTTCCCCTGCCTTGTGATCAATGACTTTATCAACTATGCTTGCATAAAAAAATCATTTTCAACACATCGTTTCTAACATATCATGCTTATTAGTTATCAAATCACCAAATAAAAATACACATCTAAGACTTGTAATTGGAGATGTAATATGAATGAACCTATTAATTTGACCATAGATAAAAATGCAGCAAAATGTCGACTATGGCAATCACATAAATGGCAACTTTTGTGGCCTTTTCACTTGTCCTCCTCGTATACATATACATTCATGAAACGAGTCTAATCTTGTATGGGAAAGATAGTTCTTCACTTTAATTTAACCATTGCACGCTGTAACATCGCATACACAAACAATATTTCAAGGTTGTAAAGACGACGTCTTCTTTGTCGCAAGGGAGGAGATAGAAAGGATCTGAATCATGGGGAGAGAGAAAAGAGTAAAGGAGATTTTATTTATGTTTTGAATCTGAACCGTTGGATGAGATTGTAATTCAATAGTGTTGAGAAAGGTAGGTAAATGTAGGCAAAATGAGAGTAGGCAGAATAACCTCTCTCAATAAAAATACCTTTATTTAAAGGGTAAACATTTACGATTTTCTTATTTATGTATAAATAAATAAATAAATAAAAACGTTTACCTATTTGCATCGATACATGTCGTTTAAGTTGCTAACGACTTCGTTTAAGGGGAGAAAAGCGAAGACGGTAAACGACACTGACACTATGAACGACGATTTCGTTTCGTTCGTACAAAACAAAAGCTAAAACCCCTTTCTGTGGCGTTCTCATCCTCCGTCCTCGTCTTCACACATTCAGGTCAAGTCCTTCTCCGGCCACCACCATCGCAGCCGCAGACGACGGCGCTCACCGTCTGAATGGCTCAGCAGCTGTTCGATCCTTATTACCTGTACCAACAAGATGAGAGGAGCAACATCAACACGCTCTTCGTCTCCGGCCTCCCAGACGACGTGAAGGCGCGTGAAATTCATAACCTCTTCCGCCGCCGCCCCGGCTTCGACTCTTGCCAGCTCAAGTACACCGGACGCGCCAACCAGGTACTCGTTTTCCGTTTGAAGCAGTTTCAACTGACATCGAAATTCGTGAATTTTGAAGATATTGAATGGAAATTCGCTTTTCTTTGCAGGTCGTTGCATTTGCTACGTTTTTCAACCATCAATCAGCAATGGCAGCATTGCACTCCTTAAACGTGAGTGCCTCGGGCTCAAATTTTATAATCCACGATGGACATTGAGAGTTTGGAATTTAGTTACAGATAGCTTGATTTTTATGATAATACTGTTATTTTTCGTAATTATAGTTCCTTAGAATGAACATTTTGGTATCATCTTTCGCTTTTTTTGACTAAAATGATATTGCAGTGACTTAACACACATACTCAAAAGGAAATCCTAAAAGTTAGTGGATTCTATGTGCTTCTAATTCGTTTTTCATTTTTAGTGGTCTGTTAGAGAATGAAGTAATATGAGTCATATTTAATGATAAGATGTTTACACTTTACAATTTCTAGAAATTGGTCTTCTATCTTATTTCTTTTTTGCCTTGATGATCATCAGGGTGTGAAATTTGACCCTCAATCTGGATCTGTTTTACATATTGAACTTGCCAGGTCAAACTCTAGGAGGAAGCGTAAACCAGGTATATATATTATCCGTGTTTGGTAGAGATGAATATGATATGACGTATAGAAGAGGAATGGAAAACATCAAAGTATCAACTATCAAGCTATAATGCATGTATAGAATAATATATATGTCTTCTCATTTTCATTTCTGTTCCATTCCCTTTTTACTTCAAGCAACTTTTTCTTCAATCCCCCCCCATGAATTCTGTAGAAATTCAATGTGTTTTACTTTTATGGTTTTCCGCTTCCAGGATGATTATTGGACTTTTATTTTTTGCAGGTGGTGGAGCCTATGTGGTTATAGATAAAAGGTCAAAAGGGGAGGCTGATGTTCAGGAATCATCAAGTGATGATGGTAATGTTACTTTGATTATTAAGTTCAAGTTAAACTAGATATCTTATATTATGAAATGACTATGATCCAGCTTGTTACTATTATTTTGTATGAGTCTCGTGTGATACACCCAGAGCTATATGTCCCTTTCTTTTAATTTAAATTGAGTTAGATAAGAAAGGGGAAAAGGGGGGAGGAGTTGGACAAGATCACAAGAAAGATAGTTTTCATATTCTTTCCCCTTTTGTTTCTTTGGGCTCACCTGCACATCTTTCACATTTAGGTGACAGTGACCCTGATGAACCATCGGAAAGTGGTGACAACCATGGTGATTTAGCAACCACGAAAAGGTTGAGAATACAATTAATTTTAATAACTGTTTTCCATAGTTCAAAGTTCAAAGTTTTGCAAATTGTTGACAAACAAAAAATGAATAAATAAAAGTATTCAACTATTTTGAATATTGTAGTGCTTAACTAAGTCTATTATGTTCTCTGCTTCTATGCAGTGGTGAGACTACTTTTGGTTCTGACAACGCTGTACCTGTGGTAAGTTAACTGAAAACCAGCAATGTGTTGGAGTTCTTCAACTTAGTGCATTTGTAGAAACCATTCAATATTTCCTCCCACATTATATTCAGCACATAGAATTCATTCTCTGTGTTTCAACCAGATCATTGACATAAAACAGATGAAAAAATGTGTAGTTTGCGACCAGTGCTGCTTCCTTTTACCATTAAGAACTTCTGTACTATAATCTTTTCAAATTGGCTGCAGGAGCAATATGAAAAGCGTGGTAATGGAGGACCATGTTCCACAGTCTTTATCGCAAATCTTGGTCCAAACTGCACTGAAGATGAATTGAAGCAAGCTTTTTCTGTGTGAGTTGCTGCTTCTATCTTATTAATGAATCTGCTAAGGGTCTTTACTCTAGCATTGTTATTCAGACTGGAGCAGTGCTGAACATGCTGGTTCTTGTTATATCTAGATCCTTCAGTGTTCATCATATACCTGATTTTGATGTCTTCAATCTGTTTTTCCAGATATACTGGATTCAACATGGTCAAAATGCGTTCTAGAGGAGGAATGCCTGTTGCATTTGCTGATTTTGAGGTAAGTCACTGTTCTTGCAGGAAACTATAGGCATCATTGATAGAATAGTATGCATTTTTATATTCATACATTGTGTGCGGATGTCAAAGGGGAGGGAGAAGAGAGGGGGGGAGGGGGTTAGTAACCTGTAGCAATTTGAGGGTTACAACATTAAATTTGTTTTCTTCTACTTATTTCCACAAGTTCTTATGTTACTGTCACCAAATTCTTTTCTTTGTGAGGTGTTGGATTCTTTGAATAGAATAATATGATAATATGATAATTGATCATTGTCTTCAAGTCATTTCATCAGTTTTAAAGCATGTTTCTCGAAAATCTAATTTTCATATCAATGTCAGTTTGAGGTAAGAAATCCATCTGTAAACTATACCTGTACATCCTCAGCTGACCATAAATGTCTAGTGGAACTAAATATGATCAAGGGGAACTCAGTGCACACAAATATTAATTGGGCAATCTTGTGCTGAGCTGTTATTTTCTCATTATACCTGAACGATTTTCTGTTAATTAAAAATATGAGAACATCATGGCATAGGCATACTATTAAATGGGACAAGGTTGTTCGATGGGTTTTTTCAGGTCAAAATATCTTCTATTGCTTTGCTAGTTGGCATTTATTAACAAGAAACAAGATATTGTCAAACCTTCTCTATTGACTGCAATTACCTCCCATACACTCATGCCCCTCTTCAATGCTTTACCACCAAAGTATAGTTACACATACCATATCTATCAAACAACCTTGCCCTGAATTTTTATTCATTTACTGATGATCTTATCAACCTTTCTTCTTTTGACAGGAAATTGATCAAGCTGCTAAGGTCATGGAGGAGCTTCAGGGCAGCTTGCTGCCATCATCAGATCGGGGTGGCATGCACATAGAGTATCTCCTAACCTAATGGGTTCTATTAATTTTTGTTCTTCTATGATTGGATTTTTCATCTAACTTTCTCTTCTTCTTTTTATCTCTCTTACCTGTGTCTCTAGATATGCAAGGTCTAAAATGAGGAAGCATTAGAAGAAATGGGAGCTAGATAAATTCCAGATAATTTGGTTGTTGTTGTAAATGGAAGCATTGTGTTTACTCTCGACTAATTGCAACATTAAGGGAAAGGTTGGGAAGGTGTCCCCATTTTACAAAATGATTACAGCAGACATTTTTTTGTCGTGCCTGGAACCATGTAGTCTGATGGAATTTCTTGCAGAGCACTTCTAAGTTTTCAACAGTCTAGCATACCCTTGTGCTTTACAAGTTCCATTCGCGGAGAATCATTACAAAAAGATTAGTAAGTCTAGAGGTTTAGTTCCTTGCAAGTGGAACAAAGAAGTACGTGTCACCTTTATTTTTGGAGAATGCAAGACATTTAGATTTTGATGATTGCAAACTTAAAAAAGAATAGTTGAACAGATTAAGCGAGAACAAACTTTCAGACGACTTTATGCAAAAAAATTATAGAATTGAGCTAGTGCATGCTTCATACTGATTAATATTAAGTTTTTTTTTTTAAAAAAAAAAATCTAAAATTTTGTACACAAAATAAACTAATTTAAAAGATCCATTTAAATAATTGAACCATGATACAGAGCTATGGTGGTGTAGCCAGGAGAGGCTTCGGACAATGTAAGATGGATGCGTGGACACTGGCGGTGCCTATGATTCTCAACAATTAAGTTGTCCGAATAGCTTATTATTTCAGCATATAGTATCTAGACACCCATGTTTGGATGCGGCCTTCAAACATTTTTTTGATATAGTTGTGGTACTGAGATTCAAACTTTGTTATCTTATACAATTTTTTCAATTTCCTTAACAACAACTTAGTTCTATAGCTTTTCAAACTTGTTTTATCTAATAGTATAATATATACCATTACAAATGTACGGAATTGTTTAGATGATTGAACTGAAAAGGAATAATTATAACCAGAAGCGAAGTCAAGATAAAAAATCTAGACACACGAGGAGAGAATAATACGGAGGTGTAAATAATGTAAAAACATAAATTAGGAAGCATCAAAATAAATAAAGAATTAGTGCCCTCTGGCCGCTAAAATGACAAGTTTGTGAAAAGTATAATAGAGGCTAACATAACAATGGTATTGGTGGAAGACTCAAACCCATAGATTCTGCAAAGATTTTTGTTGATGTTGATCTATAGTAAGATATATGGACAAGAATCAGACACGGATGCCCTCGGGATAAGGTATGGAGTCTCTTTGTTTATTACTTGCCAAAACATAACTGATGAACAAGACACTTGACATGTCTCTTGATCCTATTATGTCTGAATCACTCAGCCCCTGTCATCATCAGCCAACCAATAAATTTGGTTTTACATGCTTCAAAATTCAAGAATTCAAAATAATGACATTATCAACATGAGCCAACCAAGGTGATTGACTTTATGTGCATCATAAGTTAAAAATTCATTTGAGAGAGAGAGAGAGAGAGAGAGAGTTGAGACCACCTTACAAGAAGCTATTTCATTTTCATCCATTTGAAGAACATAGACAGCTCTCAAGTGTGATCAAGGTCATTTAGGCACTAGTTTACATAATTTCCCAAAAAAATTTCAAAAGCTTCTATATATACGTATCCTACTTTCACTCTGCTATACATACAGATGTAAAACTTAATCCCATTGCAGAAAGATAGAAAGGAAAACAACAAAATAGAAGGGGGCAAAGCAACAAACATATTTAGCATAACAAGAATGCAATTTTTATCATCAACCACTTTTAAATGTTATCTTCACATGGAGCCCTCTTAGTCCTAGCCTTGTCCCTATCCCAATAGGAAGGCTTGTATTTGTCAAGAGATAACTTCCCACTGAATGAGTCTTCTAACAAGGGACCACTGTAATGTTGCTGTCTCTGTAGTGGCTCTGACCAGATTCGACCACTCCTGTTTCCCACATCATAACCTGGTGTTGAAATGTAATTTGTGTCCATCACCATGTCACCCTCCAGTATTCTAAGAACCTTGAATAAACAACCACAAGTATGCCATAGATGTTAGGTGTGGGAACCAAGGTACAAAGCCTTTTAGTCTTCAGCATATTATATTAGATTATTAGAAAAACTATTGTCACTAAAATGTGTTCCCCAAGACAAGCCATTGAACTTAGCATTTAATGGTAATTGCAACAAATTATTTAAATATCACACATCCCTAAAGTAATATCAAATTATTTACCTGTGACATGCGTGGTCTAGAATGAGGATCTCGTCGTATGCATAATGATGCAGCATGCAGCATGCAATAAACCTCATGTTCTAAATAGTGGTTACCCAGCATTGGATCAATCAGTTCCTCAATGGCATATTCTTCTAACAGTGGTCGTGCCTGTTTAATATCCAAAGGTTTACACAATTAGTCAAGGATAGGCATGAACAACAAAAAAAGAAATTCAAGCTCTTTTTTTTTATCAATTGGAGTTTCATTTTTCTCATGAATGTTAACTCTTGAAATGGTGCCAATATCAGACAATTAAATATCATAACAAGTTAGATGTTATCATACTATAAAGTCTTAACTTACCCATTCAGTAAGGCACTGCTGTCCCTTGGGCCTAGTGAGATCCACAGCTTTTCTACCTGTAACAAGCTCTACTAGTACCACCCCAAAGGAATAAACATCTGCTTTTTCAGTGATTTGGCCGCTTTGAGCATATTCAGGAGCCAAATACCTACACAGAAGCAGCATAGCTTAGTTGCAATTTCATATTGCACAGATTAGTTTGACAGTGAAACTAATTCAGGATCAATACAAAACGTACCCAAATGTTCCAATTACTCTAGTTTCCACACCCGTGTCTCCATCAGGCTGCCATCTTGCCAAGCCAAAATCTCCAACCTTGCATAATTCAACACAATACTATATTGTTAGAAAATGAAGCTGCACCTAAAAACACACTTCAGGTTGTGACCATAGGAAACTAAAAAAAATCCATGGCCTTTATCCTTTCGTAAGTAAACTTTTAAAATGTTAAAAGAGTCCACAATTATTTTAATGAGCTAGAAAAAAAAAAAAGGACTGTATACAGATGAATATGCAAATAATGAAGTAATGGTGCCTTTCATTGTTATGGAACTGCATTGTACAAAGGAGGCAAAGTACTACCCTACCAGAGGTTCAAAATCATGAGTTATGAGAATGTTGTTTGGCCTCATGTCACGGTGGATAATACAACCCACTCTGCACTCTTCATGAAGATATCGTAATCCACGAGCGGCTCCGACAGCAATTTTTTGCCGTGCAGACCATTCTAATGGATCCCTTTGTCGCCCTGAAATACTTCAAAGTATTAGATCAATTTACAATCAAGTCAGTTTCAGTATTGCAATCATTGAATGTAACATGAAAATATCATGATATTATCATACTCTGCATGAATATAGCCTTCAAAGACAAGAATAATCCTACTTTATCCCATGGTTTTAGTTGGCATATGGATTAATAAAGCTGACAACATCAAATTATATATACAAGTAAGTCACATCTAATAGTCTCATTAGTTTTACAAAAATGATTTTGAAAATATTCATTCCCATTTTCCAATTGTTTAATGACACTTAGATATATGATAAACATATAAGAACTGAGCAGTTTATGGACCATATCAACATTGCATGCTGAATGTCTTAATTAAGTTAATATATTTCTATGATGAGATAATTTGGTGTGGGAGAAAGAGAAATCACCATATAAATGTGAATCCAATGATCCATTGCATATGTACTCATAAACCAATAGTCTTCTCTTATCCTCTATACAAAACCCAATCAGCATAACAACATTTCGGTGCTGAGCACAGCTCAGGACTTCTACCTCTGAGCAAAATTCAACATCACCTTGAGAACTAGCCAATTTATGTTGCTTGACAGCAATGACTTGTCCTTCTGGTAGAACCCCTCTGTGAACAGATCCAAACCCTCCTTCTGCCAAGAAGTTGGCTTTTGAAAATCCACCAGTTGCAAGTTCTAACTCAGCATAGCTGAACCACCTTGGAGGTTTTCCAAAAACAGGTGCCTTGTGCTGACATATTGAACACAATGGAGGTGGACCAGGTGGTACATTTCTTGATAATGCTATTGCTTCTCTCAAATTTCCACTGAAATCCGAGTCAGTTCTATAGGTTGAGATTTGAATTCCAGTTCCTCCATCATGCCTAGAAAACTTTTCTAGCAAACCTCTGGTGGTAGATGCTTGAGGCATGTCATGAGATATCTCTGATCTTTCTTCATTTTGTTGAGATGATTGTTGGTGTAAAATTAATTCTGTGATCCATGGCTGGAATCTCAAGCTTGCTGAAGATGTGGACAGACTTTCACTTTCTGTGTCTGAATTAGTATCACCAGGTTCTTGATTTTCCATGATAGTTTCCTCTTTCTTTGACTCACCATTCATCTCTGAGATAAAGAATGGTGAAGTTCCCGGATCAGAGCTTGAAACTGATGAAGTACCAGCTTCAGTTGCAGTGAAGGGTGTCCCTAGCTCAGGGCTGCTAGTTGGAGTCACAGCAGGTCCTTTGATGGAATTCAAGTAATCAATCTTCTTTTTGGTTCTCTTTTCAGGCATATCATCTTGCTCAGAAGGTGATAAACCTGCTTCTTCAACACCCTTCTTTTGTGGTCCAATCAAATTCAACCTTAGTACTTTGGGTTGAGAACGCTTCATAACCACAATGTTACATTGCAACTCTTCCATGCATCGCTTTTCCTCATGTTTGAGCTGTCTACAAAGAAAGCAACACCAAATACCAACAACACAAACTGAATTATAATCACATATCAACAACAAAATAATAAACCAGAAACGGAGATCATTAAGTATCATAGTTACAATAGCATGCTTTTCAGTGGGGAAAAGATAAAGAGGGACTATTACTTACTTGTCTAATACAACCCAGTTGGCTTGTGCTTTCTTGGCTTCTGCAGCCACTGCTCCACACGGTGATCCAGAAACAATTTTAATCCTGACATTTATCTGTTCAACAATTGGCATATATAAGGATACAACCTCAACATTCAAATTTGCATGAACCTTTCATACACAAAGGCTACTAACCTTATTTGGATCATAGACATCATGAAGCTGAAGGATCATCTGAGAGCAACAATCTGTTATATCACTCTTCTGCTCTGAAATTGTTCCTGGAGGGTACTTCTTCATACCACTGGCACAGTCACCAGCAAATCTCGGAAAACCCCATAATCTTTTGCCTGCGTATGAGTAGAATAACAGCCAATTACACGATAGAGTAGTGAAGGTTCAAATGCCCCATGAAACAAACACTAACAAAGTCCAGAGTTTGTCAATGCAAAACTACACTCATTTAGAATCAAGGGACTTAAATAATGCACTCAGAATGCAAAACCAAAAAGCAATCACTATATGGTAAAAGAAGGGATGATATATATGGGAAACAACTGACC